CCTGCCCTTTGAACTAATCTTGTGAACTCCTCTTAATCCACAATGGTTTGACTCTTCCTTTAAACTAAAGTCATCAAATTTCATCAATCAAAATGATCCAAAAGTACCAATCAGAAAGCTTGGACAAACCAAATCTTTAATCCTCTCTTCCATCGTTCCAAGTCAGGCATAGCACCCTTTGATCACAGTGCTTTGTAGGAAGGTCACATTTCTAATTCCCTAGAATAAACAAAAAGAGCTTTGAGTCTTCAGCCGGTCTTCTTTATTGTCATGTACAAAGCCAACCTCCACTTCTGTAAGTATAAATGAATGAATTACTCTTACAATGTGTATTTAAATCTCAATCATCATGCAGTTACACTATAACTATGCTCCCAGAAAAAATTTCTCCATAAACTCAATCTTTCCCTATCAGGTTACGGCTTTGTAAAATTGATTCCTTCATTTGGATAAGGCCTAATTCATTAGCACACACATAGAAAGCAAACGTCAAAATCATAAGGGCTTTCCCCTTATTTCTTATTCTCTAGTCCAAAAAACCTGACTGTTATTTCCATTTCAAATTAGCTGACATGCGGACCAGAGATGAGGTAAGCATTTCTGAACTTATGGGCTGGTTTTATTTTTTTCTTTTTCTTTTTCTTTCCTGGAACCTCCCTCTCTCTCTCTACATTTCGCCCACTCGATATGTAAATGGAGCACTGCTCCATTTATTTGTAAGTTTTTCACATAAATGCAGGATTGCAGTTCTCCTATGTACATTTGCAAACTAGCCTACTGGCCTGGTTCACAATTTCCTGCCATCTCCATACACATTTGCACATTAAAACTGAAATATACATAAATTGTACTTCCTGAGTGACAAAATTCACACAAGCTTTACTTGTATCACAGCAAATATTAAGCAGCTGCTAATTTTAGGGACACAGACAATTTTAAATGCTCCAAATGAGACATCATAAGATCTGCTGGATGAACAGGAAGTTGCTTTTGAAACTGGAACACTGGATACCAATTAAGGTATCTCAATTGCCCCCAAATTGCTGCATTGTATTTGTGAAAAAATAGTTTTCAGCATGCCTGCTGGCTGTATGAATTAATGCCAGTGAGGGGTATAAACCAGAAACACAGTATGACTGCTCCGTAGTTGGAAAAGTATTTCTAACATTGCATTGACAAGTGAAACCCAGATTTCAATACTAAGAAAGAAATTTAACTTTCATTTCAAAGAACAGTCTATTGCAAGTTCTGCACAGAAGAAGAATGAATGTGCAACTGGAGTGCAGACTACTGGTACTCAATACAGTAGAAAGTATTATTTTTAACATAGGGGGAATTATGACTGGGCAAGGCTTAAATTCATATTCCTGTAATACAGTTTCAGTCCCAATTTAAATGCACTGTCTGTAACTTTTTTATTACAAGCCTTCCAAAGAATTAAGGGGAGATCCTCCGCTGCAGCAAGGTCTGAACACTTTCTCGATTTAATATGTTGTCCAAAGTAGGCTCTGATGCAAAACTGCTGAAAGACAAATTAGGTTTTCTTTACTTACTCATCCATTTGCAAGATTTGGTGAATGGCAGAAGGCCTTCTTCACTACCAAACTCAGTTTTATGTATCTTTTCTTTTCTTAGAAGATGTTAACTAAGTATTTTTTTGTTACAATATTGAGAAGAAATAAGAGATCCATTCTTTCTGTTGGGGACTTGCTGTTAATTTAAACAGCCTTAAGTAAGATTATTAAGCCAAACTATCTACCATTTGTGTTTTAGCTCATTATATTATTTACATTTCTTTTTTTTTTACTTCTGGTGAAAGAAAGTTCATAGAGTAAACCTTTTATTTTTTCTTAAGAGTATTTACTTAATCTGTCTTCAATTTCTTCCCTTGTATTACCTCTGTAATATCCTTTCTTCCCCAATTTCCTTCGATGAAAGTTTCTACTCTGTTGCCACTGCCTGTTGCAAGAGGTAGATAACACCTTGTTCAAACACGTAACTGATGAACAAGCATCCTAAAGTTGACATCACTAAAGCAACTATATAAACAGTATAATTTCTCTTAGTTGCTGATTAACAAAGAAGAATAAAAAATAGCTGGAGATGTAGCTCTCTCAAAACCATTGCTCAATATACATATTGAAAAATAAGGGAGAGAGGAAAAAAAAACAGTATGAGCATCTCCCTTCCTTTAAGGGAATGTGCAGTAGCTTCCCAAAATGGAAAAATTGATAAAAGTCATTTCACATCAAGAACCATCTTCAAATAGAATAAAAAAACACAAAAAAATGCTTCTCCTGAAATCCCTTTTATCCCACAAACACATGCTATGAACAAATCACCCAACCAGTCTCCCTCCACACATTTCATACAGCTATCTTGACAGACTTTAGTCTTGAAAGGGAGATGACCAAGCACTGCTAAGAGTCATGGTTATTACCATAATGAAGAAAGCTCAAATACAATGATGATACAGGGCAAATAATACAAGGTCCCATAAGAGCAGACCATTAAAAAACAAATTTCAGTTCAGCCAACCAAGAAAATCAATCCACATTGCTAAACTAGTATCTACAACAGAAACCTCTACGTATTAGCTGTTAGTCCACACTGCTGTACTTATTGCTTCCAAGATACTGCAGAAAAATAACCTTTGTTCTGTGCACCCATCATGGGGCTTGTGCCTTTTGTAAGGCAAATTATATTAACCTCTAACTAAGCATGAGAATGACATGGATTTCAGGATAGGCTGAATTTAACAGTTTCCATAGTGCATTATGCTCACGGTATCACACATGGATGCAGCAAGTTACATGACTGTAAGAAGTCAAAAGCATATCCACATCTTAAAGAATGAAGTCACGGACAAATTTAATTTTGTCTCAGTTCCTTACAAATCATGGAATGTGGTTAAAATGGAAACCAAGAGTCAGTCTGAAAGCTGATTGATGGCCTGCAGTGGTGTCCTGATTGGTTAGCATCTCACATCATAGATATAATTAAGATTCTGTCTCTCCTAATAATCTCAGAGACCATTTAGTCAGCAACACCAACACATCAAAGGAAAGGGTGTCAATGTCTGAAGACAAATCTGTTTAATTCAAAGCCAGCTTTGTTTATTGCTAAGTCTTGCTAGCACTAAACCTCAAAACAGAGAGCCTGGAGGGCCTACAAAACATCGTGCTAAACCACTAGAAAGACATGATGCCCTGAGTACTGACTGAACAGTTTGCCACACAGAATTTCAGAGTGGTATCAAAGACAACATAGTGTGGGGTGTAAGAGTAAGCACGCAGGTTAATAAGGGAGACAAGTAAGGTGCAGGTTGCTGAGAAATGATACATACAGGCACACACTGCCCTTTCCATATGATTACAACTGTGCCCCAAACATAGTGAGTCAGTGCCCTCTGTGCACACTCTACAGCTCAGAGATTGCCTCCTCCACTCACACTCTGACACACTGACTCATTTTAATAGGACATCTTTTTTTCTCTTTGATCCAAACTTCCGCATGTCCTCTCATCTAATTCATTCCACATTTTCCCCCCATCTCTTCCACTCCTTCCGTGCCACTCTTGCTACTACCTCCCCAAATAAACCATGGTTCTAACACAACACCTTCAGCACTTGCTTGCTCAGCTCCTATGTTCTTAACTCTGCTCCCACTTTGCAGCTGTCTTCTATCTGTGGTATCTCTTCAATAGTCTTCTATAGCGAATAGTCTACTTTTGTATGAGATCTAATGTGAACATTCCAATTTGTTACATTTTGGAAACTCTAATACGTACCCCTCAGGCAGCAGCAGCAGCATGAAAAAACAGAAACCCTCTATCTGCAGTCATGTCACAAAGACTGTTTCACCTAAAATGCTACAAACATACAATCATCACAATCAACTTACAGGTAAGGTTACCTGACGAATGAAGTATAAAGGTCTCCTGGGAGGGAACTGACAGAATCATCCAGATGTTGCGTTTTTGTTTTTTCTGTGGGAGAATTGTCAAGCTAGGTGATTATCATTTCATTCAATTATTTGACTTCCAAGTCTTTTATCCCAAGTGATGATAACTAGTTACCCAACTTCACTGGCATGTTTTACACTATTTATCCATTTTTCTTCCCCTTCAACTTGCACCTCATTCAACTCTAGAAGTAACCAAATACAATTATTATAACCGTTATAAGCCATAAACCTCATGTGCTATAAAGTCTTAACTTTCGTTTTGGGACACAAGTCATCTCAAATGCAAGGACTGTTATTATGAGAGGATGCCTTTATTGTTTTGTTTGTTTGTTTTCTTCACATTTCAGAAACATAGTAGGAATCTGCTGAAATAAGCAGTGTATTTCATCTCCTTCCCTGATAAACTTATAACCTAAATTCACCATGAAACACAAGAGCATATTTCCAGGCTGAGAAGGAAGCAGGAAGAAATTCTGCTGATGATAAAACACAGGCTTTCTCATAGAAATCTGAAATGATTTTGGATGACTGTATTCAAAGGGACCACTTCAGATATGACACAAAGAAATCTGTATAATGACTGAGACAGACAAGATTAGTAGAATGCTTATGAGAAGAAAATACAGCCGTATGAAAATTCACATAGGGTCACAAGCTGAGATGGGCAACTGCAAAGGATCATAAAGATGGATGCTGTGGTGTTCAATGTCATCATAAAGAGAATTGTGGTGGTAGAAGAAGAAAATAAGTCTTAAAGGGAGCAGATGAGAAGGCAAACAAGTGATACTGTGTGTGTGTATATGAGAGAGAGAGAAAGGGATGATGGGAGGGAACCAGGGAGGGAGTTGCTGAAGTTGGGCAGGGCTGAAGTTGGCCCAAGCTTCACCAAAGCAGCAGGTACATATATCTTTCAAAAAAAAAAAAAAAAAAAAAAAAAAAAAAAAAAAAAAAAATGCTGGTGAAATTTAAGTGCTTCCACTTAAATCCTTACGAAGCTTGGGTTAGGGTTAACCCTAATGTAACCCTAATGTTACTTCGCATTTCCCCCTGCAGCTAATATCCTTGCATCCCATTTCAAAATGACATCTTTCACAACACTTCATGGAAAAGGACACAGGAACTGAACATTAGATTCATCTTCCCAGGCACTCTTCATGTGCACTAGATACTCTGGAGATTCAAAACAATTAGACCTTGTATGCCATCAGGACAGAGGTACTTGGACTGCTAGGACAGAATTATCTTCTATATAGTAACAGATAGCCTCTTTTCCATCTTGAAAGCTATCATGTCAGATTTTACAATAAAGCCAACATTTTTTTCACCAAATATTAATGCAGTTAGGCATATATTTTGTTACCAAAGTAACACATAGTGTTTTAAAATAAAAATTTATAATTTTGCTGATGAAGACTTACAGTAACTGATAAGTTGAGGCAGACAGCTTGTCCAGAATTAAATGACTGGATTTATCAAAACCAATTTCTCAAAACATTAGAGCTGTTCCAACATGAGTTGGAAAGGACCTTGTTAAAGATTATCTGGTCCAATTCCTCCGCAGCAATGAACAGGGACACTGACAGCTAGATCAGGTTGCTCAGAGCTCAAAACATTCCAACCTTTAATGTCTCCAGGACCTCCACCACCTCTCTGGGCAACCTGTTCCAGTGCTTTGCTACCCTTTATTGTAAAAAAAACAAAGCAAACCAACTCTTTTTTTCTTATATCTGATCTAAATCTCCCCCATTTTAGACTGAAACAATTTCCCCTTGTCCTATCATTACAACAGGTCTCTCTGAAATCTTCTCTTATCCAAGCTGAATAGCCCAAGTTCTCTCTGACTGTCATAAGGGAGGTATTCAATCTCTTGAATAATTTTTGTGGACCTCTTCTGGACCTGCTGCAACAGATCCATATCAAGAAGATGGGGCCAGATTCTTTTCAAAGGTACCCAGCAGCAGAACAAGGGGCAGTGGACGTAAAATGGAACTCAGAAAGTTCCATACAAACATGAAGAAAAGACTGCCCAAAGAGGTTGTGGAGTTTCCTTCCCTGGACACTTTCCTGTTTACTCTAGGGAACCTGCTTTAGCATGGGCAGCAGACTTGATCTCCAGAAATCCCTTCCAACTCCTATGACACTGTGACTAGCAGGGCACCCAGCTGCTAAAAAGTGACACAATGAAGAGACAGGCAACCTTCACATCAGAAGAAGAGATACAAAAAAAAAAATAGGCAGCTTTGGAACTAAGGATGAGAATATCAAACAGTTACCTTCCCTACTCAGTAATACATCTAGTGATCCCTATAATGGACAAGAATTTAACGCAGATAGAAGAAAGTAGCATGAAAATCTCGTAATTGGAGGTCTAATCTTACCTTCAGGAGCTGGCTTTAAATAGTAATAGCTGTATTATCATGTATAGCAGAATGGGGGTAGGTGTTCTAAACTTTCTCAGAAGGATGGAATACACTAACAGGAAAAAAAATGTTTTATAATCCTGAAATATTTTTTACATTAAGAATGTAATAGTTCAGAATGCACAGGATGTTAATGCAGTATCAGTGTAACTCTGCTGTCATTTTCATCACAAAAAAAATCCTGTACAATTAGACTACATATTAATCACTTTTGATGATTATTAAGCAGAAGTGCTACATTTTATACAGTCTAATAGTGAGTAGACAAGGGAGAACGCCTTTAGACTAAAAGAGGGGACATTGGGGTTAGATGTTAGGAAGAAATTCTTTACTCAGAGGACAGCAAGGCTGTAGCACAGATGTCCAGAGAGCTGTGGGTGCCCCATTCCTGGAGGTGCTCAAGGGCAGGGCTGGATTTGGTACTGGGCAGCCTGATTTTGTGCCACAGCAGAGGCATTGATCTTTAAGGTCCCTTCCAACTTAAGCCATTCTCTATGATTCCATGGTTACCTTTCTGCTTTAGAACTATTGCATACACATTCTGAAGTTGTAGTCAATTTTTACAACTGAAATTTATAAGTGAAGGGGAGGATGCAAAGCAAATGACTAAATGCAGTGATATAACTTATTTTAGAGTGATGCCTCCCTTTTATGGCTTACAAGCCAACGGCTCGTAAGATACCCAAACAGAGTAGTCTGTGTTTCTAAGCCAGCATATGAAAAGCATTAACACTCAAAAATAGAAAGACACAGTCTTGAAAAATCACAGAGCAACCCAACATTCTGTTAACATTAATTTTATAAAATACCTTACAAGAACAGATAAAGAACTTGAGCTTACATAGTAACCAAAATTAAAAAAGAATGTCGAATAAAATATAAATTAATTGAACACATCACTAAGTTTGCCACATGTTAGACAAGTTTATAAAAGGCATTTTCAGATAAAATAGTTATTTGGAAGAAAAACCTTCAAAATGGAAACTAACAAAGTCCTTTTTCAAGAAGTCATTCCTATATACACTAAATTCCAGGTCAGCAGGCAGTAACTGAATCTGCTTAGAATACACTATTCATATCTGCTTCAAAATTTGTCAAGCTTTAAGACACAAATTTAAATGCTTTCAGGTCAGAGTGATCAGTGCAAAGTAAAACTTCAAGCTGAAAACATGACAAAACAGAAGAAATGATCCTGGTACAAAACTTCCTAAATTCACATGATCATGAAAAAAAATCCATGCCAGATGTACTCTTCAGATACTGAGCATTAATTCAGCTAATTTGCTTGAAATGCAGTAATTTCACAAGGAGGGGATAAAAGGTGAGGCCTTACAGACATCAGAATGGTGGTCTAAATAAAGCCTTCAGTAATGTTTATTTGGAAGAGGTATTCCTGTAGCCTTAACCATTATAGCACACATTTCTAAATTTAACCAACTTTCATTCAAGCAGTCTCACTAGCCAGGTTTGCTTAAAGCTATAAACGTGCATAACACTGCCAGACTCGAACCCTTAAGTCTTTAAAAAGGTAAAAACGTTTACATAATTACACTGTAGTCAGATTAATTAAGCCTATTAATTTCTGCAGAGTAAACATCAACACTTTAGCAAAACAATTTCACTGTTTGACTTGATTGCCAACCAAAACAGGTTTGAAACAGTCTTCACATTCAACAACTTAGAAGCATTAATGGCATGCTCTTTCAAGGATTAAAGGAACTCTTTTTAAGTCATCATTAAGAATACTGCTCATCAAGCTTTTTTAACATGTACCAAAAAAAAGAAAAAGAAAAAGAAAAAGGTCACTGCTGGTCACAACCAGAAATAAAAAAATTTAAAAACCTGAATTTATCAGGCAGTAATTCCAGCCTCTAGTTGAAAGAAAAAGGTGTCATTTGTACTAAGATGCTGCACAAAAATGAGAATAGAGAGCTCTGCTTTACAATCTATAGACTCTTCTCTCATCTTTTTAAAGCTTTCTTTTGTTCATTGCCATCACTGCCAAACTGGCAGTTATGCTGGAGCCACACAAGTAATTTCAGTTAAAAAAAAAAAAAAAAGTACTGCTTTGTTTTTCTTTTTTTAATGACATGAATCATTTTGAACTTATAGTTATCAAAAATGCTGAAGTAACGCTGTAAACGAAACAAATGAACAATAGAGCTCAAGACAGCATAAAACATTCCTCCAAAACAGAGAGAGAATTACTTGAATGAAAAGCACAGAAGATAACTTCAACCAAAACTTTCCATAAGCTGCAGGCAATCAATGAACATTGAAATGAAGTTGTAAATGCACCTTTTGTGTAACATAAATTTAAACATTATTTACTTAATGCAGAAAAGACTCTTTGACTCGTTCCTGCACTCTGATTCCCCTAATCATCTTTTATCACAGAAACAAAGCAGATTAAAGATAGATATATTTGCTTTGTGATGCTGCAAGTTTTAAGAATAAGATCTGTGATGAAACAACGGACTTTGAGGTATCACAGCAATTTCCTTTGGGTGTTCCCAGTTATTTTGGATCCTGCTATACAGACATTTTCTGTATTTGAAATTTTTTAAAAGCAATGTATTGGCTGCTGAGATCTGATCCCATAAGTGGTGCAACTTCTATCACTTACTATGAATGAAGGAAAAAAGTGACAGCTGAAAGGAAACAATAAATACATGACTCAAATGCAGCTTAGTACAAAGTGAAAATTGTCATATACTGGTCACATCCCAAAATGTGGAAAATACTCTAGCTACCATACAGTTTTATCTTTTCAACAGTAATAAAGGAAGAGCAGGCTACCAATTCTCCTACAAAAACAGGAAAAGCAGCAGTTTTCTACTAGAAATATTTAGACCCTAAACTTTGAAAGCACTAGGAACATAGTTGTCACTTTCTCTCTCTTTTCTAATGTTATAAAGATATTTAATTTAGCTTGCAACAACCTGGGCTTAAAAATAACACAAAGCCTGTAGTATCACTAGCCATTGAAAGCAAAAAAACCAATTCCAGCTAAGTAGCTGGAAAGTGAATGAATGAATTTGGGCATTAGAAACACACTTTAGAGTAATAAAATGTATGGAGGAGATTGTTAAAGAACTTTCCAAAACATACTGCTACAGTGGCATTAAGAATCAACAGTGCACCAAGAATTTAAAGTTTCCAAGTTAATACAAACTAAATCCAAGCCGCAATGAACCACAGGATAATCACTCCAAAATTAATTTTGCAGAAGCTTGCTCTGAAATTTACCTGAATGCCATTAAAGTGATTCAAAATGATGATTCCTTCTAGTCTGGCATGTCTCAGAATACATAGGTCACAGACAACAGGTGTAATTAGTGTGTAATCAAAATGCAGTACTTTCATGTGTGTTTGGGCTTTTTTGAACGTTTGTAATCAAATAATTTTTTAAAGAGCTTGTACATGTCAGAACTCAGTATCACTGTAAGAAGTGCTGTTTTTTTTTCCAGTTGGTTGGGATTTTTTGTTGACTGTAGAAGCAGCGGATAAAAGACCTTGAGGATTATAGGTCATGGAATTAATGTTAAACAGAAAGCTGTCCAACATTGTTGTCAAAAATACCTTTAAAAAGGCAATTCATAGACATAACATATTTTACATTCAGATATTTCCTCTCTCAAAAGCAAAGGAATCTCATATGAAAAAATAATCAGTAGTGAAGGCCACATACTTTTGCATTTGCTGAGCTGAAATGCAAAAACAATTAAAGCATCTTGTAAGAGAAAAAAAAAAGCAAACACGAAATTTCTGGAAAGTGATGATTTAGTTGTTGGGGTGGTCAGCATGGAAACTGTGGGGAATGCTACAGCAGGACTGACCAAAAGTACAAGGGGACATGAACAGGAACATAGTACAGACATCAACTAGAAAACTGTAACTTATCAACTTGTAAACAAGAAAAAGCATTTCACAGATTAAAAGTTCTAGGGAAGTAAACTTCTTTAAATTATTTTGTCAGTTCAACCCTGATTTAAAAAAGTATGGCTAGCAAAAATACATAAGCCTCAGCATATTTATAAGTCTTGATCAGAGCAGCCATGAGCACGGCTGGAAACAGACAGCCTCCTGCTAAAGATGAAAGAAAAAATATTCTCTTCTCTTCTTCCTCTCATTCCCCAGTCCACATGTGTATATGTAGAATTCACATGCTCCAAGAAAATCTTCACACTGCTATAGATTGAGACGTGGTGAGACTGGTGGAGGAAAACAGACAAATTCTCTTAAAATACTACGAGCCACGTCAACATTATTCTGGGCAATTTCAAGTGCCCTCTTGACTTCTTCAAAGGAATAGCCTTCTCCCATTAGTTTTGCAATTTTTGCATCCACATTTTCCATGGAACTGTCAGAATTGAATGCTTTCCTGTGGTGTATTTCTGGTGCAGTCCTCCGAGGAAGTGGTTTAGGGGGCCTGGCTGGTGCTTGTGAACCATCTGTTTCAAATAAACGAGATAGAAATCATTACAAAGTGGATTAAAAATTGTATTATGGGTAGGTCAAGCTTCATGAAGCACTTTGCAAAGGGAAATTCTAAACAAACGTGAACACTGATATATCTCATTTTAAAATTTGGACAGAAGCTAGAATCCTCAGGAACATCTATAATGGAACTTGATCTTTAAGATCTTTTCCAACCTAAGCAATTCTATGATTCTATGAATTCACAAAATACTATTTCAATAATATGGTAAGAATGTGCAAGTTGCAATCTAAATTATTCAAAGCTAGAAGAAAAAGAAAGCATGACAAAACAGTAAAGATAGTGAAAATAGCCAGTAATAACTGTAATGGCTATCCACTCTCAACCTACAATTCAAGTACTTTTCCTTAGTCTGTTCAAAAATAAAAACCAAATTGATTACTATTTTATTCAGGTTGCTAAGTTGCACTGAGAGGAATCCAGCCAAACACATGGGAAGGAGAGAAATCCTTCACTTATGAGTATATCTTGCAGATCCTTTTCAGGAATTGCAGGTCATTTCATGCATACCAGTTTGCAAAAATACAAATAACTAGATTTCCAAAAGAAAAAAAAAAAAAAAAAAGTTTAGTTCAATTAATCTCAGTGGTGAGAACTGAACATGGTTCTTCCTCAGTCCTCATTTGAGAATCTCTCTTTTTTTTTTTTTGCTCTTCTTTAGAAAGGTTACCTTCACAGTTAATGTTGGTGCTAAGAATCACGATGTACTGATGAAAAGAGCTAATATTCAAACTTCCTAATCTTCTGAGAGTCAGAGCTTCGTGCTCAAGTAAACTTGGTGCTTTACTGAAACCTCTTTATCCTCACTGATACCACAAAAAGAAGCTTAAACACAAGCAGGCAAAGTGCAGAGAAGACTTTCAAGAGCTAAGTATTTAAAATAAAAAAGAAGTCTTTAATCCTTCAAAAAAGGTTTTGAAATGTTCCATCAACAGTGACTTTGATAGACAAATTAGAGGAATTTCTGACTGTGACACTTCCTGTTTACTCAGACTGACAGTAATGGCATTTTGCAGCATTAAGTGCTACAGAGGCTTTTTTTTTCCTTTTTACTGATGAAAGAATTTGGTATTTCTAGTATTACTGTTACAATACGCTACTTATCATAACAGTTGATAGAGAGATTTGTAATTCAACAGGGTGCATTAAGCATTTCAGATGGATAAAAATAGTTGTTTATTGCACATCTATCCGAAGTGTATTTTTCTCTCAATTCAGTTTCCAAGTATCCTGAAGGGAACATTCCCAGAAATTTAATTAAACTTCTTAATTCAAAGAAGATAAGCAAACAGTATTGTTAGCAAGGTGATGTTACTTATGTAAGAAATGGATGAGTAGTTTGATTAGAATTAAAATAAAAAAGTTGATGTTAATTTTGTTCCAGTTGCATTGCTCGTTTTCTGTGCATGCAGTTATGACAACCTACAGGCAAGTATGGACTATTTATAATTGTTATGAAGTTTTATCTCTGAATCATCTTTGAAGATGTGAAGCATTAGGCAAACACTGATCATTCTAATAAATATGCCACAAGACAGATCCAAACCTGCTAGGTAGGAGATCAATGAAACATACTGGATTGAGAAGTTGATTATAATTCAGGAAATGTAGTTAATAACTAAACCTAAACCAAATCAGGAACAAGTTTAAATACCCAATTTCATCTATTTTAGAAAAAGCAAGTGTAACAGAAGAATATTCTTCATGTTTAAAATCACAATATATCATGTTAAAATCAATTTCCTTCACAGATACATAAAACTGTTCTGATATGCAAAACATTTTGTCATGAACTTGTTTATTTAGGATGCAAACATTTACTTCTGAGCTCCTTACATAGAAGTCGGATCCTTCTCTGTGTGCACGCACGCACTAAATGAGGTAATTTTTGCTCTAACCAGCCTATTGCAAGTTTTGAAACTGAAGTAATTTCTCATATAAAGCCTTCACTTCTAAGAAACTTTTTTTTAAGTGATTGCACCATTTTGAAAGGTCATTTTTAATTTTGCCAGCAAATTTGCAACGTATGCATTTTATTCGGACTCTAATGACATCCCTCTATAGCACAGATACTTCAGCTCTTCTCACTCTAACTAAATTTCCATTATGAGAAACATTTCTTTCAATATCTTCACCTCCATATAAAATTTGAGCTGAAGCTGGATATCACATTGAATCCTGAGCTTAGAGATACTAAGCCTAAGCTGCACATCCACCTGGACACTGAGATAGAGGTATTTGAGCAGGACTTCCCTTTCCAACCTTCCATCCTTTGATGTTTCAGCCACCATGGATGACTAACTAAAAATTCAAACACATTTCCTAATTGTATAATTCAATTAATAGTTTCCACAGCAAGAAGTCTCCCCCTACCACATTTCTGTAATTCAGAGCTAAGTTTAACCCTTACGAAACTGACTGGTATAAAGGCGGAGACAGACTAATTTATTCAATGTCTAAAAACCATGGAAAAAGTTGCAAGGTGTGAAGGCTCTGTGATATGGTGGGAGGAGAATATTTGTAATGATGCCAGCTGTCTCTGCTCCCCTCTGCTGTGAAATGACCCTTGCTGCTTCTCCGGTATGTTCCATGGTCTTTCACCAACAGACAGAGAAGCACCAAGGAAACAGGCAAACAGAGAAGTTGATGGGTGCCAAGGGCTTGCTGCACAAGGCCAAGGCCCTCTGTGCACCTATGGCATGCTATGCACAGGAACAAAGTACATCAAGGACATACCTATGCTAAGGAATGGGCAGAACAAGAAGAAAGTGAGAAACTGCATATATTGTTTCATCAAGCTGTTAGTTGCAATCTTCACATTTTGCATTAGTATAACTGATGATTTTCCTTGGGTTTCCTGGAAATTCACTCTGAAATTGTGTGTGACACACCTCCAAATCACCTCCCCCGATTCCTAAATTTGAATATCTAATTATAATGGTATTTAAATTTGTATGCAAATGCTTCAGTAAGGCCAGATGAGTGAACAGGCATATGCTATATTCAACTAGCCATTATATTCTTAACTAGCCATTTGAATCAATTTCTTACAGAATAGCTGAAGTCATACCATACTAGGGACCTAATTTTCTTCTACCTTTCTCACACATAATTGGCTGTGCTTAGGTAAAATATCAATCAAGAAGAAAAGCAATCTCATTTGCTTTGCTTTTATTGTAATAATTTTAAAATGATGTATTTAAGATGTTTGAAAAATTATGCCTTTGGGACAATTAGGTGCACAGCCGAGAACTATTTCTTGTGTTCCATGCTAAATCTAAATACATGGCTCAATTAGAATGAAATTGTCACTACATGTTAACGAGTCATTTAAGTATCAGGACAGCAAACTTACAGTCAAAATGAAGCACATAAGTCAAAGGATTCCCAATGCTACACTAGGGTGCCAGTGGCTAAATTATAATTAGATTTTAGAATGAACTACATTTCCTTTCCAGCATACAAAAGGGCTGAAATGAAGAACTTTCTAAGTGAACTGATTAGAATAAATATAAAAACTAAAGTTTTAAGCAGTTACAATCACTGCACTATATTTTTTTAATATCATAGTGTAAGATGAACCAGTACATCTTGAAGTTCATCAGTTCTACTCTGTGGAACTACTGTCACTGTAAAAACAACCTTCCAATTAAGAGTATGACATGATCTATCACATAGCTTTCACTTAATTGAAATTAAATTGAATATCTTGTTGTATGTCATACCAATTTAGAGTGATTTTTATAGCAAAGGTCAATACATTTAGGTGTTTCAGATGGCTATGGGAAAAATATAGAGATAGAACAGTATATATTGAGCGACATCAAAAAGCTGCAAGAACTTAACTAGCAAGATCTTGTATAAGTTAGGAAAATTAAAGATTGTTCCACAAAAGAAGCACATATATAAACATTTTTAAAAGGTAGTCATAATTTGTGTTATAATTATAAACCCCTCAATAAATCAGGGTAATGTATTAAGGTCTCCTCACAGGGTCATGTATGAAACGTGCATTATCAAGTGTTTTCCTAACAAAAGGAAAACATGAGTAACAGTGTAACATTAACAGTATCCTCCTGAAAATGCTACTGTTCTATTAAATGCATCACACACATTCTCAGATTTGCTGTTCATTGAAGATTCTATAGCACTTTATATGCTTAATCTCTCCAGTACTTTAGTTAGGAAATAGATATTCTTTCTTATTCCCCAGAAGAGTAGAACTACGCATTTGTAAGGAAGAGATATATAATTATTAAAAATTGTAACAGTTCAGATAATCACTTTTTTTTTTTTTTTTTTTTTTTTTTTTTTTTTTTTTTTTTGTGTGTGTGTGTGTGTGTGTGTGTGGTACCTCCTTACACTACAAAATGATGCAGGTAGGACAATCCTCCCCCTTCTCCGTACACTCAGCTAAAAATAAAGTTTGTCTACAAATTGGTGAAAGTACTTTGGAATACAAGCAATGTTGTTATTATTTTAATATATATAAATTAATTGAAATATATATTTTGTTTATGCAGTACTCGCATACTCTGAAAAAATTAAGTGTAATATTAATCGCAGAAGAACTGACTCCAACGTACCTATTTTGTAGCAAGATTGAATTTAAACTGGTTTTGGTTCTTGCAGGTTCAATAAAAAGTATTTTAAAATTTTCTTAGAACCTCAGATAGGCACACTAGCAGAAAAGATCAGAAGACAGTAATACTGCAGAAAGTGAAACTACTTGTTTTGACGAAGCAATGAAACAAAGCTGGAAGAGGCTTATGGTTTCTGAATCTGATTTCCTATGTACTCAAAGAGAACAGAAATGTCGTTGGTCCTCATTTTCTCAAAAAATAAGGAACACCACAAATCACATTAGAATTCTGCTTGGCATAAACTGGTGCCATAATATCTACATAACATCAAAGAAACAGGTAGCCATTTTTACCTACATATTGCAGAACTTTAATCTCTATGACCAGGTGATGATTGTGTGCTTTTAGAAAGCAATATTTCCACTACCAATTGTCTTATTTGACGTTATGGATTAAAGTTATCTGTTTCATGAGGCTGTAACCTTCCACAGGAGCAGTCTTCTACCTTACCTGAAGAGGGAGGAAGCTGATCATAGTCTTGAGAATTCCTATTTGTTTTTACATTTTCTCCAGTTACTCTACGAACAGGTGGCAAGGGAACATGACCAGTTATTGGATCAAAATGAGGATCTGTAATAATAAAGCAATAAAGTGTCTTAGAATAATTAGAACTATTGTTTGGCAAAGAGGAAGGGCTAATACACAGAACCTAGTCTTAAAAGAGTCGCTTTAAAAAAGGAAAAAAAAAAAACATTAATGTGAACAGAGGTGTTCCACAAAGTATGTACACCCAAATCAAATGCTTGCATAGAAGACACACACCTGTGCCTTGAGAACAACAGAAGAGAAAAAATGGTCTACCTTGCACTATTGGTTTTCTATTGACATTCATGATTCACCTTCCAATTACTCAGCCCTGACACTCAGAAGCCTTTGGCTGGTAAAATATAGAAGTTGCAAGACCTGAAACAGCAAAATTAGAAGTATCCCTGCTAGCTAGTTTAGTTAGAGCTCAGTTAGCGCTTCAATGCTTTGCAGCCCAGCAACATTGCAGGTCAGATTTTTTACTTGCACAGTCCCAGTTACTTTGCGAACATTACAGGGACTGCTAAAAGCTGTAAGGAGTTCTGTGTCCTAATTAGAGGAACAGAATTTTAAAAAATCAGAGGAAGGTATAGGCCTGGTATACTATGCCCTTCCTTTAAAATACTCATTTTTTTAAACACTGTGATATATTCTTGTGATACACACTGCATACGCTCAGCGCTGTGAAGGCTGCTGAACAAGCTTTTAACATCATCCTGGACCTAACTTCTGTTCTTCACTCAAAATATATGCAATCTTTTGCTACTGTTGATGGTGAGATTATTGTTTTACTCTCATGGACTCAGAAGAACAGCTAAGATATCACTCTGAAGACTTGAATGGAAATCAATCTTCAGAAATGCATCAAATCATTTTCAGTAGTTTATTTGGCACAACACAAAGTATGAAGTATGTCAGCAAGTCTTTAGAAATACCACAAGAATAAAAAAGAATTAAAAAGACCGATTCACAAATGCATGCACGCTCAAGTAGATATGCATACTTACAACACTTGTGAGAAGTGCTGTTACAAGATCGTATTTGCTATGTAAATATGAAGTATGAATGGCCATAATTACATTCTCCAGATTTTTAATTAGAAGATTATTATTATTTTTTTAACACTATCAGTGATACTTGTATTTATTAGGAAATAGTATTTAAAAATCCTGCATATATCTGGGAACTGCAAACAGATCAACAGAGCTTGTATGCATCTGGGATTGAGGGAGAACTTTCCTTTTCCTCTCAGTATTCATATTAGAACTGAATGGTACAAAGTGTATTTCTGCCTGAGATTACACAATTGAAGCACTCATTCAGAAGTGATAAAGATTACATTATTTTTATTTAGAAGTGTTGAAGGTAATTTAGTTCCTGCTTCTATATTAGTGATCAACCTTTACATCCTGCAGTGTGCTTAATCTTTTTACCTGGATGCATGCAGAAGTTGAGTTCCACATTATTAAACATATACAATTTTGGTAAATCATTCAGCGCTCAGAGCTCAACTGATGGCAAGAAATATATACTCATACACAGTGAAAACATTATCAACTCATAGTTATGAATTTTAAATGTAACTTTCATTACTTTTTATAATCAAAATACTAGACTAAAAATGTGATAGATGTGATAGTGATTTGTGGGAAAAGCTAGGTGAAAATTTGACTACTTATAAAAAAAATTGTAAAACTACAGGGTCCTGCAGTTATGTTTTACTGCAAAATTTTACAGCAACACTTCTGGCAAAATGGCATTATTTTCTCATGTCTTCTAGTTTTTCCCCATTTAGCATCTTGGAAAAAAAAAAAAAAACATATATGAATTTTAATGAACTATAAAAAACAATGGAATTGACAAAAGGATACACACTAATGCCCCAGATCACAACAGAAAACTTGGTACTTTGGAAGTAACAATTCCTATGAGAAAAGTACAGTTTAACAAAATGTCTTGCCTTGTATAAAAATAACTGACTTTATCTTATTACTTTGTTATAATGAAAAGTTGACTAGTCTTATCCCGTGTTTTTTCAACTCCACCATTCAGAAACAGTTAAAAAAAACAAAGGAAAGCTATTTCTTACATATCTATATAGAGTTGAAAACAAAAAAGAGTTCTGAAGACTAATAAGGACTTCAATGTGCAATAGTTTCACTTCTGGAATAAATGAAATAAAATATATATTCTTTTTTATATTCCTACCAGGATGAGGGAACAGTTCATGTCCTGAGGGAGGTCGACTTCCTGAGCCAGATGGTTTTGTGTGCTCAGTGATGCTGTGCCTAGCAGGTGGTGGTGGTGGTGGTAGTGAAGGAGGTGAGCTATCAAACGCATCCTCACCTGCATTTAGGAAAGACTTATTAGATGAACAAAACTTCATAAAGTATCCTAGAATGGTTTAAAATTGATTTTTCTCGGGCTGCCATGGCCCTTGCTCCTGGGGTCTGTCTAACAGTTCAGTGACTGCATCAATGAAATTGTTAGCTTGACTCTTACTATGCACAGTCCTCTTCTAAAACATGCTCTGAATGACCATTCGCATTGCTCAGTTTCTTTTCTGGGATGGAGAGGGGGAGGAATGTCTTTTAAACGGCTCAACTACGAAGACTGTATTGTAATGAAAGTCTCATTTATTATCAGTATAGAATAACAATGTTTCAGTGGCTAAGAAAATATATTTATATTCAAATACCAATGCTGACTATATCCGACCTGCTACATTCATACCATACGCTATCTTTATCTGCTGTACTAAAGGTCTGACCTAAGATACAAAGTGAATTTAGTATACTTGGCAAAATAACTTTCCCCTTACATAAAAGTAGTGCAGACAGGACCAGATTTACCAAGCAGTTTTCAAGAGGTTTTATGGGATCAGAAAATTGGATGATTACACATACAGTATAGTCTAACAATGACTGAATTGAGTTTGTCGATGAAGGTGGATGCGATGTCAAGCTCAGCACCAGCATGTAGGCAGACTGGCCTCTCTAATATTATTGACCTCAAAATGTTTAGGTCATTGGCACAAGACAAAGTCTGGACTGGGAAATATAGCTTTTTGTGACTGTAGGCAGCAGTGAGTTTTGAACTGTCCTTTGACATTGGAAAAGCAATACAAAAATTTATTAATGTAACCTAATTTTCTTTGACTTAAATACCATCACTTTGCCATTCATCTTTTTTACATGATAAAAGAAATGTAATTATTTAAGCTACAATCAGAAACCCTCCACGCAATAAACTGCAATAATCCAAGTAAGTTTTCATTCTATTTTACACAAAACAGTTTTGTTTTTCTTTGTAGCCTGAATTCAGACTTAGTTTATCTATTCATCTGTCTTGCATGAGGACTTACAGGCAGATGTCACATTGGCAAGTATTGATGTACAGCTGAAATTTTTAGCCTACAGTTTGTTTGGTACTGTTAACATACTCAACAATTGTTGTTTTTCAGTAAATATGGCATTTGGTTAATCTAGGCTACATAAACCATTAAATGTAATCAGCAAAAAGTCTGCAACCTAAAGGGGGCACCAGAAGATCATAATCGGAGGGAGTCCTGTTGAGCAAAGAGCTGTGTTTTGGGTTGTCTCTGGTAGGAGGCCGTGCAGGTGGCAAAGGTACCGGAACAGTAGGTGCATCATAGACATCTCCTGAATGACACAATTACAAGAAGTGAATGTTTTCTTGTTGTACCCCTGGAAAAACACAGAGTAAGTTTTCTTGCAAAAAGGTGAAAAATTAAAACATACCTAACTCTGGATGTTTTGATTTCTTCACATCAGAAGTAGCACTGTGTGTTCCATTTGTTACTCCACTACATTGGCCATTCTCACAAACCCTGAAGAGAGACATTAACAAGGAAGTAATCAACCAGTTAACCAACTATTAGTTCATAGAATTACAAAGTGCTTAAGACAGTGGTCCATTACACAGAAACCAATGAAAAACGATGAACTGCATGAATTCTAAACTTTATAGTTTTTACACTCAGTTTAGGTACCGGATAGCTCTCACTAAAACTGCTTTGAAGAATTATACTGCTTTCTTGGTGGTATTCTGACATTAGTTTAAGTAACTTACTCAAGGTAAAGGAAAAAATCATGTCATAGAATCACTAATGTTGAATACAGTCCTCACTTCTCAAGTCACATCAGTGGTTTATTTACACATTTAATGCATACACTCAGTGCTGTTTTCCCCTTTCCAACCGTTAAAATTCTACTAGATAAAATACCAAAAGGACAAAAGGGAATTTTTGGTAACTATAAAAACAAACAAACAAATACAATAAAACAATAACAAAAAAAAAAACAAGCAGAAAACCATAACATACCACTGACAATTTCAGGTAAAATCTTAGCCAACTATTTAAAATGAAAAAAACAAACAAGTCAAGCAGTTCTGCAGACATCTATTTCTGTATAGAAAAATGGAGTCTCACTGACAACTTGTACTAGAATTTTCCTTTTTTTTTTAATGTAAATGTATCAGTCTCTCAAAATTAAATAACAGTATCAAGTTAAATACGAAAATTCACTTAGAGTTAATGAAGCAAAGTACAAAGTAATCTATAATGTTACCACAAAAAAAAATATCTATTGCAGATTTCTTTCCTTTGTAAAACAACTGCTCAAAGACAATGGGGAAATAACATGCAAAAAAAGTCTTTTAATAAAACTAAATGTTGTTTAAATAAATGTTAAAGAATTAGAAAATGACTCCTGTCATTGCAGCTGCAGATCCTACATGCTCAGAAAGAGTCTGAAAGTTTCTCTAGAAAAAGACCACCATGCTAAACAGTTCCACTTAAAAATTAAAAAAAAATCACAACTACACACTATGCGTCATTATTATCAAAAGTTGGCAAATCTGCTAGAGCTATATGAAGTTAGAATTTCACATCTTGAGTTTTTACCAGTATTGTCAAAATTGGTAAAACTATCTCTTTCAGCCATACAGAATGGAAGGATGAATAAAGGTCTATAATCATTTAAAATACATAAACAGGAAAAAGGAAGTGAAATTGTGATCGTCATTCCAAGAGTTATAACTAGGAGTAATGAAATAAATGTAAGAATAATTACAAGACTTTAAAAAAAATATCAAAACACAAAACTAATGGTAAGAAGCATTCTGTTATGAATTAATTTCCCCAGGGAAGTAGTAGAGGACGTGTTGCTTCTCTCTTAAAAATTAGATTGTTCAACCTCACAAATGCAGTGCAAGCAACACTTACTTTGACTCATCAGCATATATACTAAATAATTAATAATCTTTTCTACTTCAGGTTAAATATGTTCTGTGTTTTCAATAAATTAATCGACATAGGTAGGTAAGATAACCTAACATGGCACCACTTAAGTCTTCATGAAGAGTCCAGTAAAGAAATCAGTTTGCAAATCATCCTGAAATACCTGTTTACACTGACATTAGACAGCACTGATAGAATAGCAGCACATTAGTAGAAACAAGCCAGCCTTCTGCTTTTTTCTTTTCTTCTCAGAAAAAATATGATTATTAGGAAAAGACAGTGATCAAAGAGTGAGTGACCAACATATCACTTTCCTAATACTAGTCTAGTTACCCTAATGCTGAAATTCTTTCTTTCCATTTTCTATTGCTGAACTTGCATATGTGTATGTAGGAGATCAGCTGTAACAAACCAGACAGTTAACTGACCAGCCAGAAAAGACGACTGTGAATCATCTCTTTTTATCAATCTTGTACAATGTTTAGAATTGACAGATTTAGTAGCAAAACAACAAGAAATCACAGAAGTGATATAATTTTAGAATTAAACAGAAGAATTATTTGTAAATTTCAAAAAATCTAAAATAAATTCTGCGGGCTCTTCTGTTTACTGAAATGGCTATGCATTATCCAAGAGCTGAGCATGCAACACTTAGGAAAAAGAGGTAAAAGAAAGTGACACTGAAAGGTGCTAAACATGACAATCAGGAAAAAAAAAAATCATTAATGGCTTTTGCTGAATAATACTTAAAAGATAAGTTTTACGTTATACATCCTATGGGATTTTTAAAAAGTGCAGATGTAAAGGATATATTTTTTTCTTTCCCCCAGTTTTTAAGCATATGGAGTCAACTATAATCAAGATTGTCTGGTAGGGCATTTAAGCACTCAAGATCACAAAGCTCAGACAACTGTGTAACATTCACATCCATGCAATGAAGGTTGTATCACCACTTCAACAACTCTTTTTCTCACAATTTTTAACTTGTGTGCAAGGAGTAATCTTTTATTCATGTTATAAATGTCCAACTGAAAAGGTGTAAAAAACTGTAAGTGGCTTATTTTGTAATGAGAGAGATGTTGAGCATTATTGATAGTGGGTTCTTGACATTGCATTATGACAGAGAGAGAAAAAAGGCAATATGTCACTGCATTCTTTAACAGAAGAAAAGCCTGGACTTTGTAGATCAATAATTGGTTTCAGTATCATACTTTTGACCTACAGGACAAGTAAGGAATTGGCCCTTTTTTCTCCCAAGACTTATTCTCTTCATTCCAGACATTTAGATTTTCTTTATGATTGAAAGATCACGAAGTTCACTATGAATGACATAGCCTTCAGATGTCATGTTCTTTGGCTCAAAATCTCCCTGCTATAATCTATTAATAATTAATAAGTGTGAGAGTTTGGAGAGAATACTTTAGAATATGTTTTAAGCAAAAGAGCCTTATTCCATGTGAGTAACAAAAAAGTTACCTTCCTGAGAAGCACTATTCAAAAGCAACAAATATCATATTGCAGAGATACAATACAGTGATTGTGGTATATGATTGTGGTGGTTAAATGAAACAGAAGCATAAATAACACAAGCTTGAAAAGATAAAACATTTTAGACATCACATAACCACCACTGTAAACATTTAATACAATTAAATTTTGGAAAAAACCAGACTTTGGTGAATAAGTTGCTTTCAAGATTGCTAAGTGACCTTACCGAGCAACAGGTTTTATATTATGACAATGAGGTGATTGAGAGCTCAGTATTATAGAATGTGAAGAAGGAACTTTGTATTCATCATCATCATCTGTATGATCCCTTGATTTATCAGATAGAGAATTTGCTGAAGAAACAGGGCACCTATGGAGATGAGAAAAAAGATCAGTTCTGCTTTAAGTGTTAGATAATAATCCTCAGTACAATGCAGAAGATACACTTCTTTAGCATAAACATCCTTAACATGTACCAGCTACGCGTAAGGTTAAAAAAATACCATGTGAAACAAACTTAAAAGTTACTGCCTTTTCTGTCAGTGAGAATACTTAAACATGTTAGTGGATATTGTGTTAAAGTCTTAAAGCTACTTTAAGCAAGCATAACACAACAGAGAATTCCAAAGTAGTACTAAATATGTGCTTGGAAGGTTTAAGCTGTTTGCACTTATCAAAAGAACTAAACAGAAGTTAATTCACGGCAAATAGTATTTAGCAGGGCTCAGTAAGGCAGTGGACATTCATGATTTCCATCTTGTTGCAGCCATTATGTTACTGAACTCCCAAGTAGGTTTATAATTTCCATTGACAGTTACAAAAAAAAAAAAGAAAAAGAAACAAGTTTCATCTGGAGAATACTGCTGGATATTAGTTTTATTTTACAGCTTAAGCTAAAGCTGAAGCCCTTCTAGCTGTTTTTGTGTTATAAACATAACAATGGACAAAAATTTTCATTTAGTGAGCACCATCTGGGGAAGAGATTTTGCTATATATTAACAAGCTCAACATACCTTTCTCTTCATTAAACATAAAAAAACCCCTAGCCTAAGTAGCAATCAATATCGTCTTTTACATATATTGCCCCTGTGCTTAGAGTGATTATACTGATACATTAAAATCAATAAGAAACTCACAAACCATTTAAAATACACAAGCTTACATTAAGGGCTTAATTTAACTTATGTTTAATCATACATAAAAACCATAAACAGACACTCAAATATTAAACTAGCTGAACACTAAGTGTGTATCTTCAAAAATCATTTGCATTTTAAATTATATAATAATGAGTACCTTCATTCTTTACCACACACACACCCCAAAAAAAAAAAAAGAATCAATAGCTGGAGGACATCAAAGGAAGATGTGGAATGCGTTCTTGGCCATTTTGATTTGTGGCCCCTGAGCTCAACTACACGCCACATTACAAGACACATCTACTTAATATATCATTTAGGGAATTTTTTAAGTACCATAGGAAAAATGAGACAGGAGTGGACGTAATTTCTTTTCTGATGATCTAATTAGTTCAATTTTATCCTGAAGGCAAGAACTGAAGTGACATGTCAGGCTCATCTGCTCATTTTTTTCCAATACAAGCAGCATCTGACACATGCAATATACTTCTTCACACAGGAAAATCTTATGCCTTTCACAATTTATTTTAGATGATGTTAAATAACTTCAGAACATCTGACTACTCTATGAACAAAAGTGAATAACTAACAAAAGTGAGTAAGTGGCTATAAGTACCAATCAGTCACTAAAAAAAACAAACAAAAAAAATGAGGAGAAAGTAGGAGGCAGATGGGTTGCTTTTGTTTTAATATACTCATAGTCTAGAACTTCCCAGCTACTCCTACCCTCAGACACTGTTTTCTTCAATCAGTAATAGATGTGTGACTTCACCAACAAACTCATGGAAGATAGGAACTCAAGTTTTTTTGGAAAAGCATTCCAGCTAAACACAAGGTGAAAGAAGATTCATGACACTGAACTGCAAACTACACACTGCAGTATTCCAACACCTTCTGTAGAGGGAGCAAAAGGTCTTCTGTAAATACAGCTGTGCAAGGTGAAATGCTTTTTCCACCTTTGATCTCAAGTCGAACAGGCAACAAGTTTATGGTCATTTAAAGCAAGTAAAACCTAACAGGATAATGAGAAACCTGTATTGTGCTCAGACAGTTCAAAGGCTCACTAAGAATAACTTCCCTCACTTCTGTGGATGTGCAACCATTCTTACTAGGCGATCCAGAATGTTCTGAAGACATTATACAAAACATAAGCCTGTGAATTTTAAAAATCACAAACTGAACAGATGTCAATGTTGGTATGTATACCAGAAACGTCCAACACCAAACAGTACAGAAACCAGCATGGTGGTGGTGTTTGAAGCCCATTTCAAAGGCTACAAACAAGAAACAAACAAACAGACAAAAAAAAAAATCCTCTCTGAAGGCAGTATTTGAAATTGGTGATAGGAAAGATTTAGGTTGTTGATTAGTTATTTAATTAGGTAGTTTTTCTTTCTTTTTTTTTTTTTTTTTTTTTTAAGTAAACCTACAGGGTTAAAAGCTGAGAGCCTGATCATCACCTGAAGTACAGTATTGTAATAGCTAGCCTTATCAGCTTCCTGACAGAAACAGCTCTTACAGAGAAAAGCTCAGAGACTCATTTACTGAGAGTTTAAAAAAATAAGTAAATTCAGAATATTCAAGGAGTACAAAAAATGAAGTTTTCCTTTCCTTACCCAATTCAGAAAGCCTCTGCTTCCTGTCTTATATATTCAGTAGATACAAGAACCTAATTTATGTTATAATAAAAATATAACTTAATTCCACAAATGTCAGTATGTTTATGCTAAAATCAATTTCCAACAATATTGCACTGCAGAGAAATCATTACAGGTTTGGAATTTTTAAAGATTTAGGTTCTACATTCTCCTGCTTCCAAGTACAGTGTAGCCTTAGACAAGCCCTTGATGCTAGTAAAGTCTCTTTCACACTGTCCTTAAAGTAAGGAAAATATTTGCTGGGCTATATATTATGTGATTAATATCTAAAAGGTCCTTTGATTTGTAACACAATTTAAAGGTACTAACATATAATTAGTATTTTCTTCAATAGATTCCTAAAATGGTGTCACACATTTTATTAACTTTTCACAATTCATAGTTCTGAATAAATCACATTGCTCTTCCAATTTGAAATCTATTTGTAATAGCTGGCTCCAAATCTCTTTTGCATTGTTCTTTTAGAAGTATATCTGCTTTTCTCCAGGATTACTGAAATTTCTTCGTAATGTAATTGTTTCATTAAATATCTATTGTTCTACTATTTTAAGTTTACCCTTCTACATAAATTAGTAAGATAAGCAGACAAGTATTTTACATATTTTTGTTACTAAACAAGATGGATATGCCACTATAAGCTAAGATTGAAACACTTAAGCATTGGTTTATCAAACTGATGAAGTTTTCTAAAATTACACTTTTGAAAAGGTAATTACTTTTATGTCTTTAGAAGGCTTATGCACAGAGGAATACAAAGCTGACCAGCACAATGTATTGTAATATTCTCCAGTTTTTTTTCCTTCCTCCTTAAAATACTTTAAAATTGAAATTCAGAACTGCATGCTGATAAGCAGAGACTTTGTCTTCTCTGATTTGTTGAACAGTCACCCAGATGCCAAACTCTCTTATTATGTTGAGCACCAAGGGCCAAAGTAAAGCAGGGAAGACAGAGAAGCTGTTTTTATCAAGTCACTTTAAGTCCAGCTCAGCTGCAAAGTCGCACAGCTCCAGGAAAACAAACAACATGCTTTTTTAAAGGTACTTCAGGGAAAAATTCCCCTTCTGTCATTTGCTGGTAAATTGATTCACAGAGCTTAGATACAACAAACTTGTATTTTACTCCAATCAGGACTGTGCTTTTGAATGAATATCTTTAATCTCTCCACCTACCATACTTCAATTTGCACTGAAGAATGCACAACTTCAATATCTTTCAGATTAAACATAAATCTAAGACACACTCCAAGCATGCCACTAAGATATTCCAACAGCTGTAGATTGTTCTAATTCACGGGACAAGACTACAGCTTTTTGAACTGCTGACCCATAACACGCACCGTACAGACATCAGTTTCTTAATATCAGCTCTTCTACAGGCCTTGTGCAAATAAATAGCTGATAGCGAGCTCAAAAGCGACTTATTAAGCTATCGTTGTTTCAACAAAATAAATGCTGTTACACAGATCACATGATTAAGTCGATTTATCAGATGCTTCTAAAATACTACCTTTGAGTGCATATTTACCCTTAAACATAAGCATATTTAAAAGAGTTTGCCCTTGTTCATAGAGGAGTATACAATTTTCTATTTATCACAGGGTGCAATGCATGCAAGAATTATCTGAGAGTAGATGTTATATCCAAACTCACTGATTTGTCAAGCTTGCCAAGCTAAGTCCTGCATACCATGCTTTCTCAGATATCTAGAAACCCTTGTATCAGCAGTGCTACTTCTAAAAGCACCACAGCAAAGACTTATTTCAAGGAAGCCATGATTTCCAGCCTTTCAATTTTCCTTTAATGGAATCATGACTTCACATTCAAGGTCAGCTAGCAAGGATAAAAGGGATAGCAGGAGGAGAAATACCTTTCTGTGTACTTTTCCTCAACCACCTCAAGGCAACTACCTCTTCCTAACATATGTATGGAATATAAAAGGTACTTGGAATTGAATGTTTCATACATACTAAAAAAAAAAAAAAAAAAAAAAAAAGAGTAAATAATACTATAATATATAGCACTTTTAAGACCAATCTTTACTATTACAGCAAAATGGGACCCACTCACAGGAATAAAAACAAACACTTTTTACCTTGAAAATTTGTAAGTTTGAGGGAAGAACTGTTTTATATTTTTTACCTAAGAGTTTTATTTGTTGAGAAGAAAATAGCAATTTGATCAAAACTGCTAAAAATAACCTGATATAATTACATCAGTCCAATAAAAGAATAACTGCTTTCGCAAGTAGGGATTGCAGTAGATGCTTACTTAATGTGAGTCCAACATTCCATGACTAATGTGTGGATAATAATAATAAATCCAACAAAGTGAAAATAAATTAGCCCTGTTTCCATTAAAAATAAATCAAACAAAAAACAATACTGATATCAAACTATGCAATTCACTTAAAAAAAAAAGTTAATATTTGCTATGGCGCATTCAGTAAAAAAATGATCAAATAAGTCAAGCAAGGACGTCAGAATTGTGGAATTGTGAAGCTCCAACATAATTTTGCCTCATCGTTATTTAGACTAAGGCATTTCATACCTGCTCTATGTATCTTCCAGTTAAACCTTAGAAGCTACAGACTTACGAAAATAACAAGGAAAAAAATGCCTTAGAGCTGTATAAAAGAAACAGCTCTCAAACCAAAACTATGCAGAGATCAGAGAGGAGGGAAAAATGAGAAGCTTGCACTAGACTGACTGCAGTAGGGCAGTTTGGGAAAATATGAGTATTTTGAACCAAATCTATAAATGAACACATTTATGAAGGCTTAATGCAGTCAATTTAATAGGAGGCAAAATAGTTTGTGAAAACATACGGAAACATTTTCAGTGAATGATGTATAATGACATACTTTAATTCTAGGATACATTTGTAAAAAAAAAAAACTGCAAAAATGAGATTTTCATGAAACAATGTTTTTTCATTTTTTCTATTCCAACACCATAAAAAATAAAAACCTTTCCTTTTTTAGAATCCAGTAATTTGCTTTAGAATACTAAAGTATGTAATTTGTCCATTCTTTCTCTTTCTGATTGATAGGTTGTGGAACAACCTAGGAGCTCTGTGTATCATGGAAGATGCAGTCAGTCCAAGGAGATTAATCTGAACAGAGGACCAATTAAACACAACCCATTGTACAGCAACATCTTTTAAACCACAATATTGCTGTAACACAGTGTAGTTTGCAACTACTGATACTGGCATGACTAAAAGCTCTCTGTGTAAAAAATCCAGTAAACATGTCTAGATTAGAGATGGAGTACACGTGCACACACACACAAATTATGCTCTTTATGCTTAGCATTGTCCTGAGAACCTCTCATCTCTTGCAATAGATAGCTATGATCATACTTCTTCAGTAGTAGTAGAACCAAAATGGAATGGACAGGTTCTACTTCCACTGCCAAATACCTACAAGCAAGATCTGCCACAAAGTACTCTTTTGCTATGAAATGTAGTATGTCCAATTAACATTAGAATTGTTTCTACTTAATAAAATAAATTTACATTTTCTTTGTAAAAACACATTAAAGCATCATGGAAAACATGTCACTAATAGATATCATTATTTTTTTCTTTTTTCATTTTCCGTTTAGCATCACAGAATCAGTGCTATTATCTGACATTAATTAACCAATTACCTTTGCAGTTAAAAGTTAACTTACTTTATACTAGGGATGGTGGAAGCAGCTGGAAGAGGAGGTGAAAGCCGTGGTGGGACATCGTATTCTTCATTTATCAAATGACCATTTGAAAATACCTACAAAAATCATACAAAAGTTACAATGAGTCTCTCTTCCCATTTATCACCACAGATGATCCTCAACCAGATATTACAAAACAGACTTTGAGGGGGCTACACGTTAAAACTTTCCTAGGAGTTCATGCGACAGAACTATACTCAAGTGATTATTTTCATATTAATTTCAGCTTACCCCCATTTGGGAGCTGTAGAACATACTCACTTTAAATTTTACCAAAAGAGGAAGTTTTTTGTCACAGTTACTAGATGGACCACTCAGTTACAGCTGAACCACTTGGGGAAAATCAGGATTTCAAGATTGTAAACTGATGAAAGCAACAGAGATGGAGTACAGATGGAAAACAACAGGAACACCATGTTAAACACTATTTTTTAAACCTCTGTGGTGCTGTAACTGGCAGATTGTAAAATCGTCTTCTGAATTCTTAGCCATAACCAAGAGCAAAATGATTGTATTGTGATCGACAAATGAATCAGGGTTAAAAATTCATGAAGTGTTATCCTTGAGAATGTTCATACATCCTCAAATAGTAATTCATAGTTGTCAGTTACTCCATTTAATCAAGTGGCTTAGACCTATTAACCGAACATGACATTTCAAACAACATTTGGTTAAAGAAATACCTGCATAATTCTACTAGATTACAATTGCTCTTCCACACCGAGTAGTTATTCTGATTTGAGAAGTATTCCATCTGCCTCAATACTGTACCTAACCACAACTGGAATGTTAAATGGCTATTTGAATGTACTATTGAAGATATAAACCCAGTGTAGTTTAAAAGCAGATGAAAATCTATAATATTAAAAACTACAGTCTAGTTCTTAGTAAAATTTTGGTCTTTACCTCAGTTCTGATGAAAGAACATTCTTATTACACATAATACCACGACCTTCTTAAGGACTTTTCATCACATAAATAAATGCTTTTTACCATTAATAACTGAATTTTAAAAATCACACTTCCAAAATTATCATGATATCCATTTGATAAACAAATACTGTGAACTTGGGAAAAGGAAAAAAAGTGATGATTTTTAACTTTTGTACTGAATCACAAGCACAAGCTATACAGTTTTCAACCAAAAAAAGAGCAGCAACACTGAACTAATAATCCGCTCTATAATGAAATACTGAGCTGCTTTGATAAAGTAGCAATTAGAACAGAAATATGGATTTTTTTCCTAGGCCATCACCAATTGCTCTCTTTTCAAACCCAGGCCTCTGCAAGTACACAGTCTTGCAGGTTATTTGAAGTTGATTAATACTAGCACTACTGCTCCACTCTCTAATCTCTCAGATATCTTCAATTAACAAACGGAAACAATCCTCTTTTTTTTTTAATAGCAAAAACACCATAGTTCTAGACATACTATTCAGTGCAGCTAAGGACAGGCAATCATACTTCTTAGGTGACAAGCAGATGCCTCCCAGACAAATCAAGCTGAACAATCAGTGGAAAGATTGCAAGTGACAATTCCAAACGCCCTCATAGCTCAAAATGAATTATTGGACACTGCATTGGACTTTTGTCCGAGAAAAATCAAAAATGCTACGGAGAAATTACAACAACATACAACTCCAGCAGCTGGAGCTCTGACTTAAATCCAAAGGAAGAAAAATCCAGCTAAAGATATTTGCATTACTGTAAACAACTGAAAAAGAAAAAGGTATTTGCCATTACCGTGAATGAAGTTTAAAGTACTGATGATAATATCAAACCAAACAATGCAACAAAAGCTGTGCCATTGTACATTTTCAAGGCTACTGCCCATATAGTCAGTAGTAAAGATACAACATACTATTCCACATTTAGCTTCGCTTCTGATGTACTTGTTTCTACTTTCTTATGGTCAAGGTAGGTTAGATCTTTTCCATTAGATTATACTGAAGATCATCACTAATTTAATGTTCCTTTGAAAATAACATTTCACAGATAATTAAGACCACCTGATCATTAGAATATTTAGCTTTTGTTAACGTACACAATATAGCTAACAACTTTAGTGTACTTGTAAATATCATATATGTATATTACGTAGTTTACAGATTTAAGAGGTCAACTTGTTTTCCCTTCACCTTCCACAGAGGTAGCTACATCACTGATCATCAAACACAGAAATAATTTAGGCTTTTTCAAAGTTGACCTGAGATGCTGCATAACTGACTTCTGTTATGCCCCAACTGTATAAATCATTTGCTGAAAGAGCACAGCAAATCTAAAATTTTCTCTCCAAGCCATTTCTAGAATGTTTCATGTTAAAATTGGATTTTATCTTAGACCCTCATGAATGGTAGCTTTAGCAATTGCAGTATGTAACAAGCCATTTATTTATGGCCTGCTTATTATTAATAACCAACATGAAAGATTTAGAAACCCCAGCACTGTAGCCAAGGAAAACAATGCTGCAGTAGGATATCAAATCAAGGCTTCAATAAATTCACCTAATTTCGTACCTTGGCACCTTCCACAGGCAATTCATGACGTCTGTGTTTTCTCATAAATCCTTGCTCAGAACTTACGCGGTTGTGCCTTCCATTCATGTTTGAAATTGCAGTCAGTCCTGGTTTGGGAGAAGTGTCACTCCCCGTTCGAGATCCTACTAACTGACTTGTCCCAAACACATCTCTGGGACACCAGCCTTCAAGGGGCATCGGCTGGTCTCTGGAAGGCACGCTTTCTGGATGATGCAAGTGTCTGCTTATCCTGTTGTCTGGTGGAATTGGAGGAGGTCGTTCTGGTGGGGGTGGTGGAGGATCACGCAAGGGAGGTGGTGGTGCTGGCAAAGGTTTGTCTTGTTTCCTCATCATGCAAGGAGAAGACTAAAGAAAACCAAGTTTAGAAAAAAAAAGTTAAATATACATGTGTTTACTTCACTTCTTTCATGATCAAATAGTCTTACCATTCCTAATAGAGGTATTTTCTAGGCACCAGAAGAGAACCTGCCAGTAAGTTATAAATTAGTTTTCCCTTTCAACTCTGCAGACTACACGGTCTCTCTTCAAGAAATTATACCCTCATTTCTGCTGAATGAAGAACCACGGAAGAACAGGAGAAGAAAGACAATTGGCTACAGCAAACTTATGTAACTGATAATATTTCTCTAGAATCCTTTCTTCTGTTTTCCATAATGCTTACTTTGAATCACTTATTTAGCTGTTGAAAAGAATTCTGAGGAATGTTAAAAAAAATACACCATCTGGATGCAAGAAAAATAATAAAAAAAAAAACAACAAAAAAACTCATTCAAAAGCAAAATATTTCTGCCACGGAATAAATACAAATAAGCACTGATGAGGGCACAAGTGGAAAGAGAAAACAAACGTGTTGATTTTGCTGATACAAGAAGGTATGACTCCATTCTTCATATGACAATCATTATTAGAGTGTCTAATATTTTAGAATGGCAGTTCAATTTTTCAGGTGGCATTTTTAGTATGTATTTATGTTTGCAATTAGATAGTCTGCAAACAAGTTTTGCCAGCATATTTCCTTTTTCAGAACTGAACTGTGTCACAAATGGTAAAACTTTTTTCAAAATTATGTGCAAAAATACTAAAAAAAAAAGAAAACCAAATTTTCAGAAAGAGAATGTATGTAGATTTTCTAAACTACGTATAGTTTCTAAAAGCATAAATCTGATAAAAACAAAAGAATTTCAGTAGGAGAGAATTACTAGAAACATTACACAAAATTATGCTTAAGCCAGTTCTTCCTAGGTTATCAGGAAATATTTTTCTCCTACAGTTATAGTAATAAGCATAGGGAAGATTACTTCTCTCTGAATGTGTAATTTTCCTGGACTCTGGCAAGTCTGCATAATATTACCAGTTCAAGAGAGTGAGGCCACGAAAGTTTCAAAGGAAGAAAAGTATTTGGTTAGGGCACCAGTATTTTTAGTGCGACTCTTCAAGATGTTATTTATGTTAAAAAAAAAACAACCCAAAAACATTATTCTACCTGCAGGTCAATTCATATAAATAGGATACAATATTATTATATTAAATAAAGAAGTATTTAATCAAGATGCTAGTTAGGAAAAAGATTAATTCTCACTGTCAAGGCAGAAAGAAAACCAAGCAACCAAGCAGCAAGGAGTCATCCAAATTTTTTTGTTGTTGCTGTTTCCCACTGAAGAAAAGGTAGAGCTTTTGACTGTAATAGTAGTCTTGGTAGAACAACTTGCCTTTATTTTTAAACATGAAATTGCAATTGCTTGTTGTTTCCCATCTTGTTTCCCGTGCACCTCCCAAAATATTTTTATGTATATATGGAAAAGTATTATGGGAAAACAGAAGCATTTTCAAAATACTTTAAGAGAAAGACGTGAAGTGATATTAATGATATTTCTGATTCTATTTTTTTTTACAGTCTTTAATTTTGTACAAATAGTTTATCAAAGTATATTTTAAGAGATACGCCAAACATTCAGTTTATATTCTCAATGTGCTGCAATTTCCCTTGTATAACATAAAAATGCAATTAAAGAAGTTTGATAAAGAAACTATTCAAACTTCTATTCTTCTGTCTGAATTATAGACCATCAGAACTTCAAAAAGTTGATTTTCAAGCTTGAAGCAAAAACCTAAGAGTACCAAAAAGGTATTTCATACTGGATTACTATAAACAGACGAGTTTCAATTCATATTTAAAACTTGAATTTGAATTCACTATCTAAGATCAAAATTTGAATTGAAATCCTCTCTCTATACAGCTATTAAAATAAGCAGCTCATAACAGAGAGCAACAAACATAGCTGTTTTGCTTTATACTTACTTGAAAATTCTTTAACTCTTTAGCATCATTACTCTCAAAATACACAGTAAGTACGCAATTCATTAACTTCAGATATCCTTCTTTCCAAATTGGAAAGATATGGATTTAATGGGTGTTCTGTTCAATGGACATGAAACTTCTTGCAAGACCATACACAGTGAGTGCTTATTCAGAGAGTGTTGGTCAACGGCTCAACGAACAGGTGGAAATCAATGACAAAACTTGCAGATGACACCAAGCTATGTGGTGCGGTCAACGCACCCAAGGGACAACACTCCACCCAAGGAGACATAGACAGGCTTGAACAGTGGGCCCAGGAGAACATCATGAGGTTCAACAAACACATCCAAATGCAAGGTCTTGCACCTGGGTCATGGCAACCTCGATTATCATACAAGTTGGAGGATGTGAGAACAAAGGACAGCCCTGCCAAAAAGGACTGCTAGATGACAAGCTAAACATGAGAAAGCAGCGTGTCCTTGCAGTCAGAAAGCCAATATATCCCGAGCTGCACCCAAAGTAGCGTGGCCAGCAGGTTGAGAGGGGTGATCCTGCCCCTCTGCTCTGCACTGATGAGGCCTCACGTAGAATACTGTGTGCATCGTGGAGTCCTCAGTACAGGAGAGACATGGATCTATTGGAGCATGTCCAGTAGAGGGCCACAAAAACAATCAAAGGGATGGAACATCTCCCCCACTAAGACAGGCTAAGAGAGCCAGGGCTGTTCAGCCTGGAGAAGAGAAGGCTCTGGGGAGACCTGAGAGTGATCTTTCAATATTTAAAGGGGGGCTAGAAGAGAGAAGGGGACAAGGGGAGATTTAGACTGTATGTAAGAAAAAGTACTCTATAATAAATAGTGAAGCATTGGAACAAGTTGCCCAGATTGGTGGTGGAGGCCCCTATCCCTGGACACATTCAAAGCTGGACTGGACTCAGAGCAACTTGATCAAGCTGTAGGTGTCGTTGATCAGTGCAGAGGAAGTAGACTAGATGAACTTTAAAGGTCCCTTCCAACTCAAAAGATTCTATGATTATTATTTCCCCTGAAACTTGAGTCATAATATATGCCACTTGCAGTTTTGAAAGCAGGCTATCTGCACATATTTTTCTTGTTGAAGTGCTGTGCAAATGAGCACAAATAACCATCAGAGAACAACATGAAATTTTAATGAGATAAAGGCCTTTAAATCTACTTTCAGGAAATTTTCACTTTTATTTGGTTTCACAAATCAGGGTTTATTATAGAATTGACGTGTTAACAGTGTTGTTAAATTGATGTTTTTAAAATTCTGAGTATAACTAAGTATAATATAACCATCAGATTAAACAGGTCACATTTAACCAATGCATGTAGCTGTAATCATCTGACTATGTAACTTATGATGCAAGACAGGCATATCCAAAGTCAACTGAAGGAAACAAGGAAACAAGAATCTCTAAGTGACTTCATCAACGTTGATCTACTTGAGAACCTTGCTAAGCAACAAGGAATTAGAAGTCTTTTTGAACAAACCCCTGAAAAAGATAACACACACACAACATTTCTTAATAGTCAATATTCCAAAACAAGCAAGCAAGCTCACACTGAAAACAATCAAATAAATTTAGTGAATCTTCATGTATAAAGAAATAAGGGTCAGTAAGAGTTACCTTTGGTGATCCAGTTGGGCTGGCACATGGAGACCGTGCTACTCCCTTCTGAATAAGATCCAGACGAGGAGGTACAGGTGGAAGACTAAGATGTGGGATTTGCAGGGGGTCTGGAAGTGGTTTTCTTCTTTGTGCAAGAGGGGAAGATCCTGGAGAAGTCACTGGTGAATTCTGCCTCTCATTGCACTTCAAGACATAAAAAAAAAAATTACTGGAATTTACTTGATGATCAAGTAAATAACTTTCATTTTGTAAGAAGAACATTTTATACTTGCCAGGCATTTACTGATAGTCATTTATCATAATGGACACCTCACAACTCTTAATTCATGTATAGGTACTCAGATCCTGATTAGTGGATAGAAGTCTAAAAGTCCATGTATCTCAAAACTATATTAATTTGTGATAAAAATTAAAGAAAATATATTCCAGTAATTTGTTTAAACAAGCAATTCTTGCCATCATAAAAGAAACAACAACAAATGTAAAAAGTGATTCTGCAGTAGTACTGCAGTAGTACTCTTGATAACCTTTCTATTAATAAGTATTCCATCTCATAATTATCTATGTGCAACTTTCAAAGCCGGATGCTCATTATATTGTCTGTTAACAACAACCCACTGTTATATCATGTCTCCACAAAAACAAAAAACAAAAAACAAGGAATAAGTCTTCTGAAAACTTACTAAGCAAAATCATCAAGTCAGTAGACAACGAATTTATTTCCTTCCTCGCTGATTAGCTGATAAATATCACCCTCAAGTGACAAATCATGATTTCTTTTCCTTGACTCATCCTTTCAAATTCATAGGCACAGTGGAAGTTGACAACGTTCTTTTAAAATACCATTTTTAATTATTTAAAAAATGAGAAAATATGCTATACTACAATCAGAATCAAAGATTTCACTCAGTCTACGTTTCACCTACTTCTGCAGTTTTTCAACTAACTGGGCAAGTTCAAACATGCAGTTCAATTTATTCCATAAATCAGTTCAAGGCACACCTGTGAACCTACTGTAATTGTATCGGCATACACTAAGTAAATCTGGATGTTCATGCCATTCTGTGTTATTTTTGGCAGTAGTTAAAGTAGCTTCACAACATTCACAGGAGTCATCAGACTCAGATCACTCATGCAGTGAGTATTCTCACTATGCAACTTGCTTATAGAGACTGTCTTCTTACTATATAAAGCACATAAAATTGTTCACGCAAATGCATCTGCTAAATCATTTTGATCAAAATTTTCCCCTCCGTTCATAAGATTTCTGACATCAACATGGTACATCCTACAGATGTAGGTTACAACAGAGAGGTTACAACAGAGATTAGGACTAGGAAGTTCTTCAGTAGAATGAAATCAAAGTTATTTTTCTTTATATATACTGACTATATTAAAGAGTCTGAAAACTCCATAAATTCAAAAGTAGATCTAGGCAAAACGATCTAGTATTTTAACTCTTAACTCAATACCTTGTGTTTTACATCTTAGTGTAATATTCTATGCAATTGGGATCTGCTACCAGATTTCCATCAGAAATAGAAGCCACAACCGTACTACAAGGCAAGAAAAAAAAAAAAAAGAGAGGGACAAGCAGGAAGCTGTTGAAGAGCTAGAAGACTGAGTTTCAACTCCTTTGCCAGAATGACTTTTTGTGACACTTTTTATCTTACCATTTGGTCTATAAGTGTAAGGTCAGTGTCACAACTGCATATTCAAGAGACTGAGCAATTGAAAATTCACACTCTTAATGTCTCCCAGAAGCTTCCCAGCTTCTCTTTTCTTAGTACTTCTTCACTGAATGTACATACTAAATGACTTGAAGTCAATACTTAATTTTAACTTTTTCCTTCAATTGATGAATGTCCCTGACCTCAACTGTAAGGCCAGGAGGATAAATACATGAAAGACAGGTGAGGTGCTTACCCTCACTGATCACTATGAAAAGGGAACTAGATGAATAACTATGCTAGATACTTATCTTGCAGGCATGCCTGAGCAACCAGAATTATAAATTGACTATAAAGTGAATGTCAGTTCATTTGCCGTAATAGAAAGCATCCATCAGTTAAATATCCTAATAAACACTGTGTCAATGAATAGCATTAGTTTTCAAAGTTCAGTTACATCTCCACCAAGCATTCCTAAACACCAAAAGCCATATTAATATAATATATTCAATCCTTTGACTTCAGCATCAGACAGAAGATTAATTTATTCCTCAACATTTTTTTAAATAGATCTAAACAAGTAGATCTCACACCTCCAAAAAATTACAATTATTAAACATAAATGGAAGTGGTGTAATAAGTTTCTTCATTTATGGTAGGTCAAAAACTGAACCAATGATGGCCAACAGGCTATCTAATAACTTGTGAGGCATGTGAAGAAAAAAGAAAATTGCTAATAAAATTTAACAGTTACTCCACCCTATAAAGAAGCTTAACCCATTCAACTGTTTGGTGTCGAAGTATGAGAGAGCACTTTGCTGGGAGAAACTAAAAACTATGATTCTTTGTTAAAATCTACAAACAAACAAAAAATATCCCACAGCAACAAACATTTTCTTCAGTACTCACTGTCAGATTTCCTTCACATTCTCATTTTTTAAAAAAGTACATTTCTTTTTATATCCAACCTGTCTAGTTGCATAATTGTTTGATTTTTCAAATGAGATGGCTGCATTTCTTATCGATGTCAGGGTATCAACAGATGTACTTAACAAGTACTATTTTTGACACAGAATGCAACCTCTTAAAAAAACCTGAAACATTTGCTATGGACTAAATACTTGAATTTTTTTCTGCTCATTATCTATTGGAGATTTCCATGCATTTTCCTGTTAGTGGAAAAAAAAGAGTAACAAGAACAGCACAATGGGAAAAAGGAAAAACAAGCAATTAAGACACAAACAAATAGAAAGGAACTGGACATGACAGAAGACAGACCTTCAGTATACAAAGGGGCTCTGCTGCAACACAGACCTGTGCAATAAAGATGTAATTAAGGAAAAGAACACAGGCTCCTTTCTAAGGACTTGGATTTCATCTAGTTGGCACAACTGCTGCCAAGGGACAAGCAGCTGTGACTTATTTTTGCAACTGGACTGCAGTGTGGAACACAGCTGCATGATTTAATCAGATGTATCTATTACTGGGAAATAGTGGTATCAGTTTTCCCCCAGTAGCTGTGAATTTAAGTTTCTTTTCTGACATTTATTACTACAGAGTTAGAAAATTCTCAGTGATGAGAAAATTAGCAGAAGCTTTGGCACCACTTTGGTTTATAAAGAATTATCTGAAGATAATTTTGAAATAAAAAAAAGCTGCTTGATGAGGCCGATAAACAGACTAATTGCAGTGCATTTCTTTGAAACCTTTGATACTGTTGGTCTGCTGCTGTTGCTGCCTCATACACAACACCTATAAGAACAATTATTCATTTGTTTAAAAGTGGATATATTCACTCCATTAAATAATCGATTATTCTTTTCCTTAAAACACTCTCAACTCTGAGGTCCCTTGGGGATTTAATGCAGTTACCACTTACTGTTTATGAGTATATTTCAGAGATAGAAAGATAAACTGCAAAATTTGTATTTTTATGGCATCCAACTTATATTTATAACTCATAAAGGTACAGGAGATGATGAAAAGTTTTAATCTTCCTTACACATTAATGACAATTTCATAAAGTTTTCAGTACAAGTCTCAAAGGCAACAACAATGCAACTCCTATGAGGCATTCAAGAAAATGAGGACTGATTTGAAAATTTCAGCAACACATCTTGAAGCTCCACATTTTCAGAAAGCTTATGTCACTGGAGCTTTCACTGATTATCAGGCTTAAGTTCCCAACTCATTAGCAGCCAAATACGACAAGATGATTTTCCTCAGTAATACTATCACATGGTCAAGCCAGATGATTTGAGAGAAAACGAACCCACTTGATTTTCAAAGGTTGGCATCTTTATTACAACCCTTGCAATAAAATATGAATTGACCAATATGATGATTAGGATCACGAAATAACTATACTATCAACTTGCCTGCAAATGATTATCCGTGTCCTTTCATCTCCATTGTTTCTATATCCCAAATGACTCCATAACACAGCCAAAATGCAGTACCATGTTTATATTAACAGCATTAACAAGAAACAAAAGACAAATTCAGAGAGGGTAAAATCCTACAAAATATTGCAGTTTCTCCTACTAGGCTCTGAGGAAGTATTATTTAACAAGAAAAATGAATAATGCTTAAGACTTAGACAAGGGTGAATTATAAAACAAAAAATGTGCACAAATAACAATATATGCTATATATGGTGATTTACTTAGAAGCATAACTCTACAACCACTGGTAACAGTTTTTAGAAGGCAACAGCAGCTGAAAATCACATGATAACATGGCATTTCAACATTTCCAAGTAATGATTTAAACTGGCTAAAAAAAGAGTGAAAAATATTGTTTCTAAAACTCCAGAAATAAATAGTAGGTTTCTTTTATTGAACAATGAAATTAATGACATAAAAACAGCAAACATCTAAGCATTCAAACAGTAGATACGGAAAACAAGACTTCTTAGTTTAAAGCTTACAGTTCCTTCTTTTTAAAAAACCTTAATGCATTTTTACCTTATCACAAAAGAGATAGTGTTATAAAAGTCTATCAATTCAAGGCTATCTCACAAAGGTCTGGGTGCAGACTGCAACTTAAGTCTCATCAGGAGGAATAAACTGTTCCTGAGTGTAGGCTATGTTGTATTACATACATAAGAATGTTTCATATGACTTAAGAGGTTAGGAAAGATTATTGGAAGTATGCATATTAAATGACAGGTGCATTCAGGTTCCTTAACATACAATGATAAGGAAATGGAAGAGTAAGATGTTACAGAATTAATTTCAAGTCAACTACTTAATCTAGATGACCTTAGTAAAAGGCAAAATATAGAAATTGCACTGTAAAATTCAGTGTTGCATGGCCAATGAGAATATTATTCAAAGCTAAAACATGAGAGGAACTCTGCAAACAACCAACAATATAAAATTTCGTTAATGACAGCTCTCATTTGTGATATAATCTTCCACAATCAATATAAAAATCCCAAAAATGAACACAGAGCACTTTGAGAACAAATACATCCAGAAACACAACGCTACTATGAATTTCAGCTTTCTCCCTCTAAAATTACCTAATAAAATCCATTTTATATTACAGAAAAAATTATAGATAACTTACATGAAGTATGACAAAGAGGCACTTATGTGCAACATGATTTGGGTTCCAAGCCATCTTTACAAACAGTACAAACATTACAAACAGTAATATTTACTATCAATGGATAAGCTCACGTATAATCCTAACATATTTGTTGCTTCCTCCATTATGAACAAAGTTAACTCTATTCACATCACACGACAGTCAAGATATATATGTAATTTTTTCCTATTCGCTTTTAGTATTCTTGCTGCAAAATCAAAGCATTTTGCTTTTCACCCTGAGAAGTTTTCAATGAGTTTCTGAAATCTTCAGCATGAAATGCAGTCTCTCATTGTTCAGTCACAGGCAGCATTATTTAAAAATATACAGCTTTATTTGTTATAAAATATTTGAAACTATACCTTTCGGACTGAAGCCAATCGGTTCATCATCAAAGACTCCTCCCTATCATCATCATCATCCAAGTCCAACATGGGCATACTAAAGCTATCGATAATACTGCAACATCTGGAGTTTTCATCTCTTGGATCAAACGGATCCACAATAATTGGTTCAGTTCCTTTGATTTCACAGCGACAGAAAGGACAGCCTTGGCCATCAGATTCCTATAGTAAAACAGAAAAGACACATAAATTATTAAAAATAAAAAAGAAGAACTTTAAAAAGTATGCAAAATATAAGGTCATTACCTTTCTATACAAAAATGCCCCTTTCTTGGGTCTCTTCAAGTTTCATAGATATTTCACTGCAGCTAATAGTAAAATGATCGTGCTTTTAAAGCTATCTTCCAATCACTACATTCCATTTAAAAATAACTAACCATAAAGGAACTGTTATCTCTACAGAGCATCAAAAATAATTTTGCCTTTTTGAATTACAATTTTCATACTTCTTCAGAAGAATAAAGGCAAGGTTTGCAGATAGAGATAATGCATTTTATCTCTCCTATATTAAATACAAAATATTTGGTTTTAATTTTTATTTAGAAAATACCAATGAGCTTCAGAGTGTGCAGTTCTCATTCTCTGCAGTACCTCTTGAACATTCAGAAATATGCATTCAGAATTTTAAGGGTGAAAACTTTCTTGACGTTTAAATAGCAATAACTCAATAACATTTTCATCAAATTATGTAAAGCAAAGAACGGTCTTCACACATTTTTTAAGAGAAGTATAGATGTGGCACAAAGGGTTTAGTGATATTACTTGGAGGTCAGGTTGGGTTTCACGGTCCTGGTCTACTTCAACATAGACAGTTCAATGATTCTTTGCTATCAGAAAAACAAATTACTTGAGTTTTAATTTCTAAGGGGTATAATGTGCTAAATGATTTTCAAGCAGCCATATTTGTATTTATTTTTATCCATTTCAGAAATATGTATTTTTTTCCATGAACAGGCACCATGTTGATTTGATCTTAAAAACAGAACAAAAAAATAAACCACAAAAAAAAATAAAACTAAAACCAACCAAATAAAAAAAAAATCACATTAAAAAAAAAAATAAAATCCCTGAAGATTTAAGAGATCAAAATAATTCAATCTGAATTCAGAAGTTACATTGGGTCATATTCATAGTCATGTAATAGGGATTAGAAGAAGATGATCTTTAGGGTCCCCTTTCAAAATAAACTGCACTATGATTCTATAACGAAAATAAAAAAAATAAATTTTAAACAACCTACCAAAATGTCTCAAGTGAACTGTCCTGTAGTCAGGAAATGTCATCAAGCAAGCACAGCTTTTTGATTTCTCTTTATTATTATATAATAATAAATATCTAATTTATTACATATTATATTATATATATATATTATATAATTATTATATAATAATAAATATATAATTTATTGACAGATTTCTTTTTTTTTTCCCAGTATTATTTTCTTCTTGACACTTGACAAGAACACTTGACAATTCTCACTGAACTGACTGGTGTTTTTATAGCCTGTGGAAGAACTGGGGCCAGATAACTATAAATGATATCTCTTTACAACAATCACATATATTTACAGACTTAGTATTGGATTTTCGTTTTGTATGCAAAGATCCCTGTAATCTACTTGTAGCACTGCTGCATCCTAATTACAAAGAAGCAGTCAACATCACTTATGATTACCTCAAAAAAAAATACATCGAAGATTTATGGATCTACTGAAGTAATCACTGTCATGTAAACAGAAATTCTCCCTTATTCATACATTTTAATGGCCGATGTTATTAAAAAACAAGGAAAAACCCTCAAAAACAAAATAGAAACAACAACAAAAATACCAAACGAAATATCTGTATAGATAAGGCACAGAGCTTTGCAATTGCCAGGCTGTCTTGTGTCAGTGTTTTCAAATAGCTGTGTACTAGCAATTTCCTCTCTTTTCAAAAGTTACAAATTCATCAAAACATACTGAGTAACCAACAACAGCAGACTCATATTCAACAGTAGGAATAATGAAATTAAAACTGAGAGCTAAACTCTATATGAATACATAGTTTTGCCCACATTTTTAGAACATGGAGAAAGCAGCTATTGTGAACCTTACAATACAGTACATATGTCCATATGTTTTTAGAATTAAGACCAAAACAGTAGTTTTTACAGAAGAGATTCCTTAGGAATAAATTTTCATCTTATTGCATAATACAAAAGTAAGATTGTTAAACCAAGACTTAATTGAGAAATTGATCTCCCTAAAGGTGAACAACATTGAATCATCCTTGGCATTCTATGCAGATCTGATATTGCTTACTCAATTTATTAAATAACACATTTTTTCTACTTAGTGAAAACATCTGTATTGGACTGCTGAGGCATATCTAATGAGGCATTATGCTGGCAATTAAATGGTATCCCAGAAGCCTGCAACAGCTGGTGCTGCTACAGTGCAATATTTCTTCATTGTCTCACTAATTATACAAAAGTTAAATTTGTAATGAAATCTAAAATGTACCTGGCCAGTTTTCACTGACTGCAACGTTCTGATGAAGCTTGATGCTTTTGAAAAGGTCAGTTCTCTAAGCCTAAAATGTTTTGTCATGTTCTTCCTGAATTCCTAGCCATTAACCAAAATACTGAGTACATTAGTTTCTTGAATGTCCAGAATTGGAGCACATATCTAGCTCAACACTGTAAATTAATTGCTACCATAACATCAGAGATGTAGCAATCAAAAGTGCAAGGACCTTCAGTTTCTAAGAAGTTAAGTCAAAACAGAACAACAAAAAACCCATAACCAAATAGCTACAGATGTCACAATTTTAGAATTTCGTAATTCAAAGATGAACATAATTAGATGTCTGTTTATTATTAAAAATGAAACTGTAAAATAATTCCATTTTTATTTCTCATTTTAGGAATATCTTTTTTTCTGCTCTCTGCTGCTACTTAGTAATGAAACAAATTCCTATATGAGCATGTGTAAAAGAGAATTTTATGAGAACTTCTCGTCTTGGGGAACTTGAAAGATTTGTGTTTGGAGCAAATTCAAATTTCAGAAAGAGAAACAACAGAAAATTGAAAATTGGGAATCTTTTTCAGACAGCTTTATTGCTAATAAAAGAAAAAGTCAAATGATACTTGTGATTGAGTTGGCTTGCCAATGCAAGTTTTGTTCACATACAAGACAGAAAACATCCAAACCTGCGTCACAAGAAATTCTGTATGTTTTCAGAAATATTCTGTAAGTGACATTGATATCACAGTTTTTCTCTCTGTTGAGCCTCTTACCTCAAGAATCAGCTAAAATCTAGGTGGGTTTAGTGATTTATATGTTATCAACACAAAACACAGGAATCCTAAAGCTTATTTTTCATTGAGCCTTATGTGACATTTACTACTAATTCCTCTTCTTAGAGAAGACACCCTGTCTCATTATAAAACCCTGTCTGGTCAATCATTCACTCCTGATTGCTTCCTGTCCTCTTATTCCTCTTGAACATATTGTCAAGTGACCTTGGTGGCATAACTAGATCAGGAGTCCATCTGTCATTGTCTGAAGATACTTAGAAAATTATTTCCACATTAGCAAGTTAGAAAATGGTCGGTCTACAAGTCAGCAAGTCTACAAATCTAGATTTTAATGACTCTTAAAACTTTGTTTTTAATAGATTTTAGTCCAGTAAATTAAATATATATATTATTTCAAATAGGTAAGACCTTGAACCCTCTTGCTGAGTACCTAGAAGAGTAGAAACAGTAAATCCACCGTAAACAGAGATGTAACAGAGAGTTCCATCTATTTCTAACTTAACTATGACTGTACCTGCCATGCCGTAAGACAAGAGGTGCACATGAGGTGTCCACAAGGCTCAATCTTTACATCCTTGTCATTCTCTGCACAGATTTTACATAGCTGAAAAGTGGAACCCATTTCACAGTACAATTCATACTGTTCCTGTAACAACAGAAAGTCAAGTTATTTCTTTACTGCAATTTATTTATAAAGAATATACTGCAGCACTACTAGTGGCAAACATTTCTCTGAATCCTACTTTCCAACCCACTCTACTAATATTCAGGTAGTCTACTGATACTACTTAATTTATTTCTTCCTCAAGTTAACAAATCTGTGCCTTTTTTTTTTTGGGTCAAACTTTTAAGTACTATATTGATGCAAAGCATACAGCCTGCTTTTCCTTGGTTGCAGTTAAAAGGAAGATAAGGAACACATACAAAGGGAGAAATTCAGTGCTGCATGGAAGCAAAATGGAGATCTCTTTTTTCTTATTCTATGAGTTTAGAACTAACAAAAGCTACTGGACTCAAAATTGACAAATGAGGCGTTTCTACCTACAGCTTGGGTAGTGTTTTCCACTGAAGTAAATAACCCTTGTGAAGGTAGTATGGGCAAGAACATCCCTGGAAGATTACACAGCAACAGTCATTAACAGATCACTGAGCACTTTGTATTCTTACAGGACCGACAGTAAGGTACAAGAAGACTTTCAGGCAAAATAAATAATAGGTAAAAACTCAAGTCTAGAACATCTAGACTTAGGAAAAGCATTTCTAGAAAGTTTTTTTGTCTTGAAAAGAAAAAAAGATTTTGAAAGCTAAAAGTAAGAATAATCAAAGTCACAGGAAAATAAGTAGCTACTGCTCCGTAAAAGAAGAAGAGGTCAGGCAAAAGAGAATACAGTTTATATCTGTAGCTGTAGTCAGTGTGTACTAAAGATGCTTATGGTGGAGCTCTTGCAAAGAATCCATCTGCAGCAATCTAGATCTGGAGCTAGTTTTATACAATCTTTTAATAGTTTAATCAGCTCCTACTGACAATTTTAAACTACTGCAGCTAGATATTGTTTAAGGAAGCATTCATGTAGTTCAGACTAAATTACTTTGAGCATTAACTAATAGATTCCTCCTCACTACAAGTTCAGAATCAACTGGATTCATTAGCAAAATACTGGATGACTGGCTTGCATAAAACAGGACAATCATTGAGAGAAAGTAAGAATAATATTTTTGTAAGGAAAAACTTTTTGTGCAACATATCTGATATCTCTTTCATTACTACTCTAAGTTTGGAGGGAAAAGAGGGAAGGCAGAATGGTGAATGGGCTTACATCTTCCTCAGGTAATTGTTTGTAGGAATTCTCTCAAAACAGATCTTTTGGAAAAATATTTTCATAATGGTATTTTTTTGATATCAGAAAGAAATGAATATTTCTAAAATACTCCCAATTACACTAAATTACAGCAGATCACCCTTCTGCTCTGATGAAATAGAAGACCATCTAAAACCAGTACAGTTTTAAAGAGTTGTATCTAGCCTGATGTCTTTCCTTGAAGACATCCTCTGTCTCTACCCCGTACTGTATTTTTTTGTAAAGATGAATACTCTGCAACTGCATACCTAAACATTCTAGTATTAATTTCAGCACCATTTTTAATGAAGCCTTTGTCTTTTGACAGTTATTTCCTATTCCTTGAATGTCAAACATCTGCACAGTATTATATCACATCATCACCTAACAAGACTACAAACATCTAGATGGTCTGCTCTCTGGAAAGCAAGTTCCTTTAAGCACTTAATTATTTCTGTTGCTTTTCATAGATCTCTCTTTTAAGTCTCACAATAAACAGAAGAAACAAGAGACCAGAGAATTGTTTTGTGGGTTTTTTTTTTCTTTTTCTTTTTTTTTTTTTTTTTTAAACAAATAAACTAAAGTTTTCCTCCTGGATCTGTCAACAAACTGTAGCATACTTATTCAGGCTTAAAAACTATCAACTGATCTTGATTTTATTCCTTTACACTTACATGCTGTTATCAAGTAAGCTCTAAGCTACATAAACATATGACACAAATATCAGAAAAATCTTTAACAACCATTAACTCATTTCTCACATAGATGAGCCTTAGAATAAACAAAATTTTCCAAGGCATACTGTCTGCATCATCATTGGCTCTAGAGTTTAAATGGTTATTAAGTTCTTCCTCATCTAAGCCCTTCTATCAACAACGCATTTTCACTCTCATGAATTCATTTCTCACATTTTAATAAAAGCTTATTATCGCTACTAGATGAGATCCTACGGGAAGTGAAGATTAAAAAACAACTGATAAACTGTGCAACATACTTGCGTGACCTTTATGTGATCATGTGGTGTAGGTTCACATAATCCTGTCAGATCAGGATTGTAACTTCGTCCATCTGGGAAGAGATAGCTGTATCACAAAGAAATTGTTATAAATATGCACATTTCTTCATCTTTGTTACATAAATAATGCCTATGAAATTTCAGAGAGACAGTATAAGTTACAGCAGTCATTAACTAAAATGCATAATTGTTTTCAAGATTAGTCATCTTTTTCAACTTCTGCGTGCAACTAATTGCTACAAGTTAATTTTGTTACATGCTAAAGTTCACTTATAAAAGCATTAGGAAGATGTTAACATCACAATCATAATCACCAGCAGAATGCATATGAGTTATCGCAGATCATCTTTTTGAAGCACCTAGACGCAATATTATTTTTGATCTTCATTTTACAGTGAACTTATACTTGGATACGTTCGTTGTGATCTCAGAATACAAGCATAGTGCTAAGTGACCCTGTAGACTATTTCAACCACTGCAGTATAAGAGATAGCAACATACATTCGTGAACATCTGTTATTTTGATAAGAATTTACACTGAGAATCTGAGACGCAGACTGGACTTTAGGACAAGAACAGATGGAAGCTTTTCAAACTTGTGGGAAACCAATAAGTTAATGATATTATTGAGTTGTTCTATACTGAGATTTATGTTACCTCAAACTCGGAAACAGTTTCCTGAAAGTCAGGTTGTTAAGAGCCACCCGTGAAAAAGCTATATTTAAATATGGTACTAACACTTCATCTAGAATTAATATTCTCAGCTTCAGTTTTTGTTTGCCCAATTTTGATTGCAAAAATTGTGTAGTAGTAACACTACTGTAATAAGTATGTTTTATTTTACAAAGGCAATAGCTAAAGTAATATGATGTCTTCCAAAATATGAAATCAAGTATTAAAGTCAACTGAGTAAAACTGGAATTTTGCAAAGAAATTTGTCAATTTTTGAGGAATGATCAATTTTTTTTTAATTCATTATGATCATATATATGATCGTTACAAGGATATACCAAAATGTAACAAAAAAAGATTTTGACGCTGAATATTTGTGTGTCACATCAACCAATGCAGTACAAGAAAACCCTACTTCTCATAAACTTAGATTCTTTTATAATTAGAAATCTTTTCAGCAAACCCTTCAAACCTGGAAAATGTTTTGGCTGCACCATACATAAAAAAGCAATTGCAAGGCTTTCAGATCATTGTTCAGAGCTAGACATATGAGTAACTGCCAGTAGTAATTGCTCAATAAGCTTAAGTGCATTTGTGACTCTTACTGGGAAATAATCCAAGTGACAGCTACCCAATTTTATTTTCTCCTAGAATTTATCCACTATGAGATAAGTCTTTCGTTAACTTTGGTTAATGGAATTACCTGGAAATAAGAAAAAGGATGGACTTTAATCTCCAAAGAAATGGCAAATGTCATATCTAGATTTTCTGTTTCAAAGATCTTTAATATTTACCCATCTGAAGCAACAGAAGAAGAAAACCAGGATTTAATTCCTATGGTAACTACAGAAATTTGTACTTACAATCCTTCCCGACTGCCATCAATCAAAGCTTGAAACAGAGGCTTATTGTGAGGTATGGTCTGCAGTATGTTCCCATCACCAGTCACATACCCAATGGCCCACTGCCCCAAGCGAGTACAACTCAGTCTGAAAATATAGCTTGATAAAACAAGATGAATAAAAAGTCAGCATTAGATGGACTTGGGCAAATTCAGCACGTAACCTTAAATAAAGCATCTTTTATTCCATCAGTTCCCCATAAACAAAAGAGGATAACAGTATCTTCCTCAACGCAAATTTTCATTCGCTTGATTTTTCTCAAAGTGAAAGATGCACATTTACTGTGAATAGTCCTACATTACATATATTTAGACCATAAATCTTTTCTAGGACAGCATATTATACTACTGACTCTCCACAGCTACAACACGAGCCATTTGAGCATACACAGGCCATGAATACGAATCAATGGAAAGTTTGTTCAGAAACAGAAAACACCTTTTGATGCAACAGAAATGCAAACAACGAATGATAAAAACTGCTCTACTATCAGTGTTAAGGTTGGGTGTACCTGAGTTGGTGAACAGGATAGAAGAAGTATCGTTTCACTTCAAAAAATACTAAGTAGTATCAACCCAAGTAGACTTAAGTTCAAATACTTCTCAATTGTACAGTTGATATCTAGGAGTTTACGCAATGCAGACAGGGAATACAGCAGGAAAAAAAAGGAAGACTACTGGAAAGAGCATTGGGCATTATTTTCTTTTTACCAAGAAGCCTAATCTCTTCAATGTCAGACACCTTGACCGATGCAAATACTGCATTTAGAAAAGCATCCCATAAATACCACAAACCCAATTTCATATTACAAAACAGCTTTTCTTAGTTATAGCTCAATTTTTTCTTCATACCCAAACAATTCTAAATGAGAAATCTTAGCCCCTCAGAAGTTTTAGACCCTCTGGCTCTTAAAAACTTTAACAAAGTCAACACTATATTGAAGTAACCAGATTCTACTCATTTGAACAGAACTTGTACTTTCCAAAATGTTTTAAACTGATTACAAATGTAATTTTACTTTGTACCTTCACTTTATCTTTAAAATTCAATATTTCACCTGAACAACTCAGGAAGTCATCTTGCAGTATTCAAATAGAAAGTTATCTTAAAACTAATTCTGTACTTACACGAAACGTTACAGCAACTTTGGATAATTTTTCCATTACTTCTCTTTTCTAATCAGAGTTAATCAGAGAAAATGTACAGCAATCACTCTAAAAATCAGCCTAGTTATCTGAAGTCCATAATATAGCTCACAAGTGCCAAGATAAAATATTTATCTCACTGGAAACACAAAATTCTTGCACCTGCGCTTGATCAGATAGGTAACTTAACACGATAGTCTGTTTGCTAAAAAAAAAAAGGCAGAAGAAACCAAGTACAGAAGGTACATATAACTGTCTCACGTTATTGCTATATTTCTCTAACAAGTTTCAAAATGATGAGCTTTTAGATATGTACACATGGGATGCTGCAGCAAATTTAGAAAGTTACACATTAGGCAACAAAGCTTGAGAACTCAAAGGTAGAACTAGTCTAAGATGAATTTTACTTTACTGTTAGTAAAAATTTGACTGTTAGTAAAAATTTTTTAAACGTAGATTATATTTCCAAAAACGCTTTCCAATAATACATTTCTGTTTACTTGTACTTGTTCAGATTACCATGGGCTACTAAAATGTTACTTGCTTTATAGCAATGGAAGAATTACAGTATAAAAAATAAATTATGGTTACAAAACTCCTAAGTCTTAAAATCTAAAAAAAAAAAACAAAAAAACCAGCAGTTTTTGAATCTGAAATTCTGGCACTTGGCATTACATTATTTTGTAAAAATACATTTTGATATAAATAAAATCTCAAGTATGTAAAAGAATATTATTAGGAACCTGATCTACTGTTAATGAGAAAAAAAGGTAAAAATTCACTCCTACATTATTGCAATATAAAGTATTACACAGTTTAGAAATATGAATTTAGATAAACTATGTAGCTTCAGAGATAGTATGTTTATTTGGAAAGCTGTAATTAGCCAAACTTCTCACCTCCCAGGCTTTGTGCTGTACTTCTGCAGTCTTGCTTTCACTTCATCATATGTCAGGAATGCCATATATCCAGGATGAGTCACAGCTAAGAAGTTCCAATTCCTTAAGATTGAACCCCATGGCTAAACAGATCAGGCAAACAATTAAAAAGATACAACCAGGTAATTACATATTTCTAATAAAACTCAAGTCAATTTTTCAAAAAGACCCACAATGTTTGCACTTGAGCAGAAAAATACACACTTTTGGTTAAGGTCTAAGAAGCAAAAAAGATTGTCCTATGCATTCAGCTCTGGTGCAAGGATTCATTAAAAAAAAAAAAAAAAAATATCACAGAATAAACCTAGTTTGGAAAAGACCTTAAGTCATCAAGTCCAACCGCTGATCTGGTCCTACTCCCCATCACTACACCATGCCTCTTAGAGTCACATTCACACATCTCTTTAATACCTCCAGGAATTATGACCCTACTACCTCTCTCAGCAGTTTGTTCCAATGCATGACCACCCTTTCCATGAGGGCATCCCTTAGACATCTAATCTAAACCTGTTCTAGTACATTTTGAGCCCATTTCCTCATGTCCTATCACTTGTCACCTGTGAAGAGACCAACACCCTCCTCACTGCAACTTTCTTTCAAGGTAGATGTAAGTGAGTCATAAGGCATCCCCTCAGCCTCCTCTCTGGACTAAACAACTTAAGTTCTCTCACTGCTCCTCGTGCATTCTGTTTTCTAGTCCCTTTACCAGCTTTGTTGTTCTCCTCTCTGCACGCACTCAAGCAACTCACTATCCTTCATGTATGGAGGGACCTCAAACTGAACACAATATTCAAGATGCAGACTGGTCTCACCAGAGCTATGTACAATGGGAAAATCACTTTTTTCTTCCTGCTGGCCATATTTTTTATGCAGGCCAGGATGGCTTGGACTTCTTGGCCACCCAGACACGCTACTGTCTCATGTTCAGCTGGCTGCCGATCAGCACCCCAGGTTATTTTCTGCTGCCAACTTTCCAGCCACAATTCCCCAAGCCTAAACCACTTAATGGGGCTGCTGCAACCTAAGTGCAGCATCCAGCACTCAGCCTAGTTAGATGTCATGTACTTGCACTCAGCCCATCAACCTAGCCTGTCCAGATCCTGCTGCAGAGCTTCTGACACTCAGGCAGATCAACACTCCTGATGAACTTGGTGTCTTCTGCAAGCTTACTGAGGCAGCACTTGATGGCTGAATCAAGACCATTTTAAAAACATAAAAAATAAACAAACAAAAAAACTTGCCCCTATACTGAGCCCTGATAATAATATATGGATAAATATTTTGAAGATTTTGAATTTGCAGGATCTCCTGCCCATAGCCACATAAAATATTAAGTACATAATTCAGTAGGAACCTGCAGAGCATGATACTATGATAGTTTCATAAAAAACAAGTGAGCTTATTCTTGAGTGGTTCTGAGGCATTCTTGTAGTTAATGATAAGTAACATTGAAATGAGGCCTAATAAAGCTACTAATTTGAGCTGTGATTTCTTTCCTTATTCTTTATTAATTGTTTTCTTCAGTTACCATAAAAATATTGCAGTCAGAAAGCAAAACAAATACTGACAAATTCTGAAGTATTTGTTGACCTCAATAACAAATGCTTCACAAACTCGGTGAAACATAACTGATATGCTATTACTTCAAATATAAAGTATTCCTCCACCATAAAAGATGAATGATATTTAAGGCATGGATTAACACAAATATATTATGTGTTCATAGCCAGCATTTGAAAAGATAAGAAACTGCCTCTCTGTGGTTGAGAGATGTTTATTTATATATTTGTCAAAAGATCAGGGCAGGAGAAGTCAAGCAACAGACAAGAGACTATCATTACTGTGTAGTGTTACTGTGTATCCTGCAAATTCCTTCTAAAAGGGACTTCTAAGGGCTAGTGAGGCAGGGAATAAATGTCTATTTAGGTGACACATTTGAGCAAAGTATTGTAAAAGTTCAACTTGAGATGATGACACATTCCCTAGGCAAACCCTAACCACCGCTTAAACATGTATGAAGACATGTATTTTAAAATCTTCAAGTCAGACTTGTGGAACAGAACAGTAAGGTTTCAGTACTGAGGTCAAATGAGGAAATTTGTACAAACTATAAAGGAGAAAAATTCACTTCTGTAGATGTGATACCACATCTTGTCATCTCCTTTCTACACACTCACTGAAGACGGATGCCAGAAGCTTAATCACACTGAAAATGTTAGTTACTCTAATTAAAGTAAAAAGGGAGTTGAGCCTTGCCCCTTCACCACACCGACATTGACATTTCTATCACAAAAACGCAACATACCTTCACCTTTTGTATTACTCAAGTGCATGTCAGTCAAAAAGTATATTCAAACATTCAGTACTTTGAAGCTTTGTATTACCACAGTACAACAAACCTTAGGTATGAAGTACATGATTCCACCCATTAATCCCCCTAACAAAAAAGAAAACAACAAAAAACAACATCTATGCAAATTTGTTGGTTAATCATGAGTATCAGACTTAAAGTAAACTGTATAATCTTCTAATGCTTGGATTCTCCTCAAATTAATCCACTACTGCGATACATGTAAATGATAAGACACTAGGTCTGCAAATTAACAGGCAAGAACTCTAAGCTTGTCTTTCAGACACAAAGATTATTAGAAGAGTGGAAATTTTAAATGGTAAAAGATTTGTACACTTCTATAGAAATATTTTTGCTTAAAAGGACAATTTCATCAAACATGGTAACAGTGATGGAATTAGTTCCAAGCACCCACATATACTTCCACACTAACTTTATCTCTGGTCAGAGATAACAGTAAAGTTGTGCACATATACAGTGGTGAGGCAGGGGGAGCAACTTCACTTTTACAGGATCTTCACAGTAAGCAGTCTTGCTTTCTTCAGTGAATAAGCACCATCATAGATTTAGCTTTTCTGAAACAACCCACAGTTGGCAAAGCAGTGTTTTGATTACTTCAACAACTGGGATTTTCTCTCCATGGGTGTAGGCACACATAGTTAAGGAAGCATTTTAAAAACTTGAGAAATAAAATGTAACCTCTGGGAGAGATTCTCAGACCAAGTTCAGTGTAAGTTCACCTCAACAGTTACGCAGCTATTGCACAAGCTGGTAAATTAGTTTGGATAAAGTTTTTCCTGCCTCTTTATTAGATTAAAATTTAATCCTAGCCAATCTTCTTGCTTTACGTATGTCAGTACTGCTGATTTCTTTTTCCTAGAATCAAGCGTAGAAACGAATCAAAATAACCATGGCCTAATAACAAAGTGAAGCAATGCAAATTCATTGGCTTACAGATCAAATTAAATAAATCTCATTTGAGACTACTGTTCTGAACTTGAACAAAATCTATAGGACCCTACACAGGGTCAGAAAAAAAATATTACCTCTCTGATCATTCAATTCTTATTAAATTTTTAATTTTACAGTTGATATGCACATTTAAAACTAATCAAACTAATAAAAGAAACACCTAAGCACAACAAACTTCTTAGCTGTGAGCTCAGTGAAAAAGGTGATCAAATTCTACAGAAAGGAACTTCAAATAAGTGTATTTCATAGCGATGTATACTGCAGCCAATAGGCCTCAGACAATTTGCAGTGAAGTCTGAGAGCAAGATCTGGGCTTGAGTGCTTGCCAAACAATGAATAAAAGCGAGAAACTTTGACAGTAGAAATGGCTCACAAGGCATCAAAGTTCAGACTGGAATATTTGATGATATCAAGCTGCACATAAAGGGCAAAGCTTAGAGGGATTTTGCTTGAACAGCATCAGCGCAGTTTATTTCATCAAAGAGAGCCTCCAAAATTTTATTCAAAGATCTGTAGCCCATGTGACTATTTTAAAAAGCAACCAATATTTGTGGTTAAATTAAACAGTTTTCTTACACCTTAACATTTTCAACTTTGATATAGTTCTGACTCAGACAAGGGAAGAGATTATCAAAATCAAAACTCTAAACTAAAACTGTTAATCATCTGCTGCCAGATCTTAATATATACTTTGTAATGGTCACCCCTCCCAGAAGAGCAAACCCAATAAAGCTAAAGAGAGATTAACACATAACACGTGGAAGAGGGAACAAAAATATGGCATGGCTTTGGTAAAAAAAATAATAAAAATTGTTACTTGAACATAACTGCAAGAGGCAAAAGAGTAATGCAGTAGTTTATTGATGTATGTTGTTTAAAAAAGGAAATGACCAACTGAATCATTGGATAGGTCAAAGATTACTACATACAAAAGAAAAACCTAAACTGACAAATTTAGAATCAGTTCATCTAATACAGATGCGAGCCTGCACAGACTTCTATGTTAACTCAAGTACTCAAAGAATATCTTAGATTATGTTCTGTAGAAGGAGCACAAGATTTGCAGTGGCTTGTAACATACAGACAAGGCTTATTTTAGATAAATATTATCTATTGACAATAATACTATTCCCCCTATTAGTGCTATTCCCAGAGATACTCCCCTATTTTTGATAGAATGAGGAGCATTAATGGGAAAAATCTGTCTATTAAAAAAAAAAAGATCAGGCCTAAACTTAAAAAAAAAAAAAAAAAAAAAAGCAAACATTCTTCATACATCTAGTAGAAACACTGAATCTAAATAGATGTAGATACGAAAATATAACAAAGACACAAAATTTAGATAATTACCTGAAGGTCAATATTTCAAAAAATGTATTTAAGATTAGTGAAACATGCAAACAGCAGACATAAAGATAATCATACTATGTTTGTGCAAAAATAAAGCAGGTGCTGCTTGAATGTCTCTTTTAGATATCAGTTTTTTAGCTGTGGGTGCTGACAAAAATCCACCTTCCTTGACCCCTAGGTAATTGCCACAGGTCACTGAAGTTTTCAAAGTCATGCAAATATCTAACATTTTTAAGTCTTACCTGAAATAACCTAGTGAAGATATCAAACTCAAAAATTGAAATGTAGTCATTGCAGGTCAAATCAATAGTAGATTTAAGAGCCATTGCTTCCAAACCAGAGCTTATTTGATGAACTTCATGAAGGCACTGCCTGAACACTTTCCATGGCACTATAGTTCTGTGAGGGGGGAAAGTAATAAATTTAATGAAAACCCATATTAAAATATGATAACTTATTTAGACAGCAGAGACTGACTTTTGAAGTAGATGAGCATTAATTAGGTTTTTCAACAGACAAAAAGAATCAAGTTATCTGAAAGGAGCCTTTAAAACACAAAGGAACAAAATGACACTTTATATTGCAATGATAAATATTCAAGTTTCAATAGCACAATGATGGAAAACACTGTGGAAACTGAAACATTCCACTATGCAGGTAGAGCAACAAGCCTTGCACCTTCTCAAAGTTAATCTGAAAGACCACTTCTGTTTTTGGCAAAAAACTCTCTTCTTCAGTCTCTCTTCTCAGAATGATAAACATCAATTTAGCATCTACTGCAGTAACCTTTTTCATAACTTAGGCTGTTAAATAGTGGCCAAGAACCTTCTGATAACAGTCGTCCAGTTATCATCACCCTGGGCCAACGGTCGCTATACCCCATGACAGTTACATAGATATTAGAAGACTCTTTCTAAAATTTTCATCTTCACACGTTATGGCACAATGAGGATTATTTTTTGAGAGCGGTGAACACGGCAGAACGTGGAAAATCAGGGTAGAACGAGATTAAAGTTATCTTCCCTAATGCAAACCCACAATCTGTCAAACTCAGTTTCTATTTGTATAGGCTGAAGTAATGTAGATTTGTTGTTTTGCCAACCAAGTGCTTACAACTGGAATCTGATGAGGCTGATCACACTGAAGTACTCCAATTTATCACTCCCAAATCTATGAGAAATTCTTCACTAATAGTTCTTTTTCTCAAGTCTTTAGGACTTCCCAATTTTGCTAAGCCATAGCCCCTTCTCTTACAAAGGTTCTGCCTTGAACTGAGAGCAAATTATATGCTACTTGAAAACATGTTAATTAACCAGTATATAACCACTAATTGATACATAACTATTTTCAGCACATTTCACATTTTCCAAGTAATATTTTTTAATGTTTGCTAGATGTCAAAAGAGGAGACACAGGGCTCACCTACTCATCACTATTTTCTTGCAATTTTTACTAGTTCATGTTACATTATTTTTATAAGGGTCAAGATATCTAGAAAAGCCACAATAAAGCATTTCCTTACATGAAATACATATTGCTTGGTACTACAATATTGTTCAAGAAAAAGAGCAACTGTTTTAAGTTGGCACTGCATAATAAATATTTCAGAATTAAACTACATTAAAACAAATAGCAATTTGAAGTATAACACCAAAGACATTTTCCTATATTTCTACTGAGTCACGCAAAGAAGTCTACACATTACTTGGAAGCTAACACTGAAAAAATCAGACACGATAAACTGCATAGTTTAATAGATCTCAGCAGATACTTTCATCTGTGTACGAAAAACAGGAAACCACAAAGAGCTGAAGAGGGATACCACATCAGATGCCATTTAAGAACGAACGCACATTGAATTTTGATTATGGTAAAGGAAGAATGAAGTGTAGCACTAAGTTCAGAGAACAAAATTGGAAAAGTTAAGTGCTTTTTTGGTGTTAAAGTTGTCTTCATTCAAATGCCTAAGATTAATTTACTTTCTGTAGCCATAGCTCTGAAACATCTGAATCTTTCAGCAAATCACCTGGATGGTTACAGCACTGGAATCACACTAAAAAAAGGGTCAGAAAAGTTAATTAACCCATAAGTTAAAAAACAATAGCCCAACAAGAATGAATTTAGCCATAGTATATTTCAAGAATGAGTTTTTCATGCGTTGCCTGAGACAATTTACTGAAAACATTTCATTAGATTGGATTAGCAAGTATGATCTTTCATCATCCATTCATTAACACCCTGCATCCTCCCCTCCAAACCCCACCAGTGATGGGGAAAACACACAGAAGTCTTCAGGAGCATATGTTTTTTTGAGTTTTGTTTGCTAGTACTTTGGCTAAGATAGAAACCAGATGTTGGGAAATGAGTGATTAGCTAACGAAATAACATCTAAAGTTATCCTGTGGGATTTCTCGAAGAAAATGCATCTAAAATGTGGCCCCAATTTGAAATACAACTAATAACAACAGAATTGTTTTCTGCTGAACTTTGTGGAATATGTCTTCTACCTTCTCCTTTCTTAAACGAGGTGAGAATTGTTTGTTGAAACAAATTTATTCCTATTTCTCAGGAGCTACTTTTGTACCGCTCTCATGCCTAAATACCTTGAAATAGTACCAGCCAGGGATCATTTCTTTCCCAGTGTCTCTCTCCATTAATATGTACAAACTATTATGCTCTTCAGAGGGCTTACAGAGAGCAGACACACATCCCACTCTAAAGCTGTTACTGAATTATCACAAGGTCAAGAATTCAGAAACTTCCACTTCTCTCAAAGAACTAAAACCAGGAGACATTTTAAGCATGTTGAAAACAAAACAAAGCAAAACAAAAAATTCTGACAGGGAAATAAGAGATGTTCAGTCAAAATGCTTCCCGTACTGACGAAGGGGTGAAAGATTTTTGTAGATATTGTGGTTTTCTTGAATGAATATTTTCTTGTGCTTCAGGGGATTCACAACCTTTGAAGTCATCTTTTTATTATTTAAATCTAAAGATTTATTTTAATTGTTTAAGGAGGCTACAGGGTGCCAGAAGTAGCAGGAGAAGGAAGACAACAAGACCAATCAAACCAAAGTTTGGCATTGGGATTGTCCTATTTAATGCTTAGAATGTCATTTCTTTTAGGAAAAAAAAAAGACTTTATAAAAAGAAAATTCTGTAATGAGAAACTGCCTGCAGCATTCAGCTCCTGAGTTATGTAAGATATCTCCTACAGACCTTTCTATGATCCTTGTCCTTATAATATTTCTTGCATCATGTCATAGTGATACCCTGCACAATGCTGGCACAATTCCTTTACTGCTAACAGGTTGACCTGTGGACACTTGCCTAGGAAGAGAAAAGTTAGTCAGCTCAACTATAGCTCTTCTGAAAGGTCTGATACAACTGCCTTGTAACATCAGTTCCCCACAGATTTTGGTTCAGTAAGTGCACTCAGTATTAAGGGTATTTAGTTCTAATTACATAGGCTACTTCTCGCAGTAGAATGAGCATGACCAGAGCTGAGTGGTTGTATTTCATTGAATGTTTGATGCCCAAAGTTAAGAGCTCTACTACACATTCTGAACAGATAAATCCAGGTAAGTGTTTCTGATTTTAAGATGCAGTTTGAGGAAAAAGAAACTGGTCACTAATTAAAAAAAAAAGTGATTCCTACACTATAATTGTCATTGGTGCAACCTCAACTTGAATATTATTTACAGTTCTGGGCTCCATAACATCAAAAGGACTCTAAGATCCCTGAAAGCATCCAGAGGAGTGCAACAAAGCTTGTACTAGGACATGCCTTTCAGCCCTACAAGGAGAGGTTGATAGCACTCAGGTTGCCCAGCCTGAAGAACAGGAGGCTGAAAGGTGACCTTGCTGTTCTGAGCATGGTCCAGAGAAAGGGATGCAGATGGAGGTGCTGGGCTCTGCTCATGGGAACTGATGGCAAGATGAAATGACATAGGGCTCTGCCAGAGGAGAGTCAGGTGGGCACTGAGAAACATTTATCATGAGAGTTGTCGAACTCTGGAACAGACTTCCTAGAGATGCCCCATGCCTTACAGTGCTCAAGAGGCATTTGGACAATGCTCTCAATAACATACTTTAGCTCTGAGTTAGCCCTGAAGTGGTCAACACTGATCAACTTTGAAGGTTCCTCCCCACTATTGTGTTCTATTTAAAAATACATAACATAAAAAACAGCATGTATGTATCTTGTGTTACTTTATTATGACCTACAATTAATTTAAAATATTCAGAAACACAAGTTTAGAAGCAAATAAAATAAGAAGGAAACATGGAGATATATATATACCAAAGTTTTAGGGAATGGTTAATCCATGCAGTTCCTTTGTACTGCTTTTCCCCCCCCATCACCAGAGCAGGAGCAAGTCCACACTAATTGAAAAATTAGAAAAAAAAAAAGATTCTAATTGTCTTTTTTTTCCCCCTGAAAGGCCTTCTCTCGTTCATCTCACCTCTCTTCAATTAACAAAGCTATCTGCATCCTAGCATTTACTTTGGGGTTGTCTTTTTATTTAAGATTCTCATTAAAAAAAATCATTTAAAAAAAAAAAGCGTGTGTTTTAAATATGCCCTTCCCCAATCCTCTTAAAATGGGACTGCTTCCCCGCATTTTTTTCTGCAATAGTAAAATTAGCACAGAATAATAGAATAATAGAATATAGAATATTCTATGGAATCTAATAGAGTTATAGAATTACAGAATAATAATGAATGTACACATGCTCAAATAAAATTACATCCTCAGAAATACTTTCATACAGGATGGTATCCATTTACTATTATGGACACATGTCAAAAGCGTCATTCAATATTTTCAAATACAGTGTTTTAAACGCCGAACAACTTCCACGTATCTAAAGACGAATGATTAGAGTCCAGGACATAATTTTCATACAGTTCAGAAGAGGAATTTAGGTCCTTCTTTCCTTCTTGCCCTGACCATGCGTAGATGGGATTTCCTTAAACTCCATGATATTACCCACATTACTAAAAAGCAGAAGACATGAAAATAAACCTGAAAAGGAAGTAAATATTTTCTGAGAATGTTCGAAGTATAGCTTTTCAGTAGAACTGCAGAAATACAGCTATTCTCAAACATCAAGTGACAGGTTCCCTCTGAACTGTAACAGACCTCAAGTTTGTCTAAGAAGGTAAACATATACCTGTGTAACTTACACTTAATAGTGAACATTTGTCTCCAAGAAACTCTCTGAAACATTGCCAGAATGCACAAAATGAAAAGAGCAGCACTGTGTTCAGAGCAAACTCAAAAATATTCAAGTAAATGCAGACCCAAGTAGAAACAACATTTTTTGCACGTTTGTAGTGAGCAATGTGGATTTTAGTTTATCGTCACTGAACACAGCACTTTCTTAAGACTGTTG